TTTTATAAATAGTCTTTTTTTATAAATACTATATTTTCCTAAAACTCACAATTTAGCAAAAAACAAAAAAAATGCGTTAGCAGAATTTTGCAAAATATACATTTTTTCTTCGTTTCAGATTCATTGGGGGACTGCAATCGTTAGAAGTCTATTCTTACGATTCATTTCAGTCTATCATTTCTTAATTGTCAAACTTATTTTGCATTGATAAAACATGAATAAATAAATAGATCATTGATAAAATGGAAATTAATAGTAAATGTTGTTGTTTTTTATAGCACCTCAAATTCGGGAATCTAGAGTAGAATGCTCGTACCCTTCTGTTACTTTATCTATTATACTATGTGTTATTACTAGATTTGTAAATTGGCTTAATGCTGCTTCCATATTTCTTAACGGTACTAACAATTTGCGTATGCCGGATTCACTGCTCTTCTTCCAAGGAGCATCGTCTGGCTCATACGGTAGAGGTCCTTGTACTGGTGCATCATGGTCAGGTGGCCTAAAAACAATAAATAAATACACAAAACTATGTAATATAAATTCTAAAAAAACGTGAAGTAACCAAACTACACAATAAACACACACATATGCGCATATGAGGAAAACAATGCAATCAAAAAGAAAAACTGAAAACTAAAAGCTAAACAAACAATAAAATGAGATGAGAAGACCTTTTAAATGCATACAATAGCTGTAAGGCGCTATGCAGGTAGCGACACTTGACGGCAGTCAAGCGCAACAACTAACACACCCACACAGCGCACAATCACTACTGTACTGACGCACGCACACACACGCAAAACTATACGCCTTGTAAAAGAAAAACGCCTTCTACTCACGTGCCACACACTGCGCCTTCTTGCGCCTCTTGTGATTCCTCATCCACATCATCATCCTCGTCGTCATAATCATACGAACTTGAATCACCACCACCGCTACCGCCGGCACCACCGCCCGCTGTCGTTTTGGCATTACTAGGTTTGAGTGCCTTCAGCTCTTCGGTCAAATTGTCAACAGTGGTGATTAATTCGTCACGTTCACAAATTAACTCCTTCAACTGTAGCGTCGTGTAACGCGGACGATTCGGATCGTTGGGGTCGTCGCTGCATGATTTCACCAAATCCTCATTTTCTTTCTCAGCCAAACCGAGTTGCTTGCGTAATTGATTAATGTCACGATATTGGTCCTGCAGTTGGGCGAGAAAGTCGGCGCGCTCTTCGCACAACGTCTTTACCTGCGACTGCAACATTTTGCGTCGACGGTGTGCATCGCGTCCAGACGATTTTAAGCGATCCATTTGTATGTGTAGCTGTAAGGCAAACAAGAAGAAATAACAAAAATTAAATGAAAGTCTCATTGCAAAGGATGTTATACAAAAGTAGTGGGCGGGGGTAGGGAAAAAGTACGGGAAATGCAAACAAGCATAAAAACAAACACCTACACACACATGCATGCGCATGGAAAAAAGCAATTCTATTGAGTTGTTGCAAAACTTTTCAAGTTAAGGCAACGACAACGTTGCTGCATAGGCAACTGCAGATAATTGGCAACGAGTTGATTAAATTAGCCAAAGTTAACGAGCGTTAAATATGTACATTTTATGATGACCTGAATAATGGAAAAATCAGCATACTTCGCCGAAGTAATTAAATTGCTGTAAAACTTGTTATGGTTAAGGAGTAATAAGAAAGAAACGTTAATGCTGGAATACCCTGCATGGAACCCTTCAAGAACTTTATTTTCATCGGACAGTTTGTATGGCAGCTATAAGATATAGGTGCTTGTGAAAAACTCTTGACAAACAAAAAATTTCAATAGAAGGGTTGGATTTTGATTAGACAGTTTGTATGGCAGTTTTATGAAATAGTAGTCCGGTAGGAAAAAAGGACGTGTACAAAATTTCAGATTGATACCCCATAAATTAAACTGCCAATTCGCGTGTAGACAATCGGACGGTCAGATAGAGGAAGGTGGCTAAATAAACTCAGGCGGCTTGTGTTCGAAAAAACTTACTCGAATTCGGATTTGTTATACTCTGTAACTCGATTTTCAGATTTTCAAGCCAATTTTCGAATAAAACATTCGTTAGCTTTTGAGTTTTAGAAACCAAAAACGAAAATTGTACGTATTTATTCTGCCACAGGGTGGTACAACTTTTCCATAGTTATAAAGTAGATCCGAATTTCGAATATAATAAATTTACGAATCGAGATATAGAATAGGACCCCAGCTCGTCATGCAAATCATTTAAATATACATATACTATCTATATATCCTACACTTCCTTTTGAATACACTTCGTGGCAAACTGATAATAGCCTGTTCAGGGTATAATAAGCTGTAATTTAACTGTGTGCTGTAATTGGCTTTGAGCGGTTAATGAGTTTTAAGAAAATTACCTAATTTATTATATTATTTACATAATGATGTGAGTTAACTAAAGTATTTCACAAATATTTTCTAGGTAACAATTTGAAAACGCTGCTTTGGGGATAGGTTAGGTTATACAGGCCGGCGGATATACCAAAAATATTACTTTAGCTGCTAGTGCAATATTATGTTACTTCGCTGCTAAGTTCATAGACCCAAAAGCACGAAAAATACCAGTGAAATTTTTCAATAAATTTCCCCCCGGCTCCCAATCCCTTGCTTTTATAATATTTTGCAGTATATACATATATATACTATTGCTTTGCTTGCAACACTTACATTTTCGATTTCACCATATTTTTCCTGCAGTTCGTGCTCTTTTTCTTTAAGCTCGTCACGTTGTTTGTAGATTTGTTCCTTTAAGCGTTGCAGCACTTGGGTATCGGTTAGCGCCGCATTCAACTCATTATTTGTAATGCTTATGATGCTCTCGGTCAAACTAGCGCCCAAGCCGGAAGAGTGTGCAGAAGAAGATTGTAGATCTTGCGTTTGTTTAACCAGACGCTTGTTTTCATCCTGTAATGTTTGTACCATTTCTACCAATTCATTGGTTTCAGTACGCCATTGCTCTTCAAGCACCTCCATTTCCTGTTAGCAGTTATAAAAATTAACAATTTGTCAACTACAAAATATGCATTAAACACTCACCCTTTCGAAACGCCTGCGATACTCGGCCTTTTCGGATTTTTCACTCTCCAGTTGTGCTATCTTTTCACGCAACTCCTGTATTGTTGCATTTTCACGCTCATTTTTAGTCGCCAGTGCCTCCAGCAGCTCGAGCGTATTGATGATCTTTGGCATTATGCCTGTTACGGCATCGGTGCCGTAACGGTCTATAATTCGCTCATATTCCTTACCAATATCTGTTGCTAAATCATAGACATCAACAACAGCGATGTCATCGATGGCATCCAAAACCATTTCACCCATTTCATTTATGTGAAAACCGGGCATGTATAGTTGTCACTTCTCTCAAAGCTTCTTAGCAGGCAAATTTTTTGAGTTGTAAACAAAAAAGAAAATTTATACGAAAAACGTTTTTGCAAGAGTTTCTTGCTGCGCCACCGGTACAGCTGCAACAATTATTTCTATTTAATTTTAAACTATACTATATTGTTGTTTTCTGTATTTGCGCTGCTCAATTTTAGCAGCTGCAAAGTTTATCTGCCAACGCTGCTCCTTGTGCACTTCCACCCACACACAAGCACTGTAGTTAATAATAATGAATTTGTTTACAAAATGTACAAAAAACTTCAATATTAAAACAGCACTTGTAAGACAATCGTATCTTTATTCGTTGAATATTTAATTAAAATCGCTAGATAATTTTAAAGGCAAGCAGATATCTGAAGGATGCACCAGCTGAAAATGTTTCACTACTCCTTTTTGCACTGGTTCGGAAATTTGCATGAGTAATATCAGCAGATTGCAGATGACGACATACAGCGTTGCATTTTGGAGAAAACAAAAATTAAAAAAGAGTACTTTATGCTGCTCAGGGACGAATTCGAACCTTTTTTTTAAATCTTCCTGCTTTATAAACTAATTATGTACTATTATATATATATATATATATATATGTAAATAAATATGTTATTTCTAAAATACTAGTATACGTGTTTATCAGTTATTGTATCATTTGTGTAAAGGAACTATTAATGATTTGTTTACAAATTTCACACATATTTATAATTTGCAAGTAATTTACATAAAATAATATATAAATAAATATAATAATTACACGTACGAATAACTGAGGCATTGGTTACTAATAACGTATTGATGACCACTTACTTAACTAGTACCAGGCTTGTAGCGGTACAACTACTATTTTACTATTGATGACAACAGCAAAAACTTGGCAACACTTACGTTCTATTTCTCAAATCGTTTCTTTATTATTGCAATGTTGTTTGATTTGTTTTCTTCTTGGTATTGCATTATTGTCAAGTAGTGAAAATAGGAACTATCTTTAGAAGTTAAAAGTCTAAACAGATATCAAATTAAAATTTTAAACTATTTATGCTTTATCAGAAGTAATTCATAAAATATTTGTGCATGTGCAATTATTCTTGTGATATACGCAGTTTAAGGCGTGGCTAAATACAGGAAACTAATAAAATCGGCGGTGCTGAAGCGTTTCCGTTGCCTTTGTCTTGACATTTGAGGAATTTCATTAACGCCAGACAAAGCAAGTTTTCAGATTACAAGCAATTTAAAAACGAAGCAGTGAAAAAGTTAATATTACGCTTAAAATTTAAAATAACTATTTTAAAAACAACGTGTTTCACAGTGTTTTTATTAACTACCCGGTTTAAATGTTTAACAAACATCTAGGAGCCAATTCGGCCATAATGGAGGCGTTGGAAACGCCACCTGGAATCGGGGTGAGTTTTGTAGTTTCTTTTCATTGCTAAGCCTCGATTACAAGCATAGATTTTCGCAATAGTTGTGGTAATTGGAATGACTTTGAAAAAAAAAAAACCAATAGAATGAGCAAACCGCAAAGCAGAACACATGTCTGAAAACTATGAATTGCGTAGCAGAAATTAACCACAAAATCGCCTAAAAGTGCTAAGAAATAAAAAAATAATGTGTTCATGAATTCTACGATAAGTGTTCCATGTATAAAACAGCCCTAACAGCTGTACTGATAACGCAATAGCGTCCTGAAGTCATATTAATGGAGCGACAATAACATTCGTTGTATACATATTTACTTTGATATTTACATATAGAAAGTATACGCAACAATCAAGAAAATAACTCATGTTGGAAGAAGGTGTGTCACTATATTTCATCCGAGTCGTGAATTAAAAACAACACAAACTGCGCTGATAACATAGACTGGCCTCCTTAGCTTTAGACTGAGCAGCGTCATTGAAATAAAGATTACAATTATGCCACTCTAAGTTCAACCTTATGACTTACATTATCTTACAAAAACAAAACTATTTGCATCAATTATTAAAAAAAAAAAAAATAATTAATTGCTATAAAAGCGTCGCATTGGCTCTGGCCACAACACGTGTAATTTTTGCAACAACGCTATTAAGTAAATCGGTTTTTGAAATACGCCACATTAATTCTAACTTAACTTAATATTTCAAAAGCCTTAGTTAATGATATTTCCGACAAATAGAATATGCTAATGCGAAAATTGTTCACTCTACAAAAACACATACAGTACATGAAGGTACTCTCAGAGTGGACGGTCAAGCCGAGCCTAAATAAAAAATGGGCTCAGCTCGGCTTTAAGTGTTCACTTAACGGGTATCCTAAATGTATGTATATTTTTTACCTTACTAACGCATTTTTTAATACCAATAGCTTTATGTGGCTTTGACACTGACACCAACAGCTGATTGGAACGTGACTACCTCAAGCTTTTTATGGTAGAAAYTTCTCCTACATACATACATATGTTTGCGTATATAGTATAACTTGAGTGTAATTAGCATATTTTTGACTTTGTTGAAATAGTTTTATTTATAAACAAACACATTTCGCAGTTTATTGTTGCGATTATCACAAACGTCTATCTTCTATTTGCCTCCATTTATGCGTGTACATATTTTTTGTTTGAATAGTTAACTTCATTATGAACTTTCGTCATATGTACTTTTTAACATTTATAAATATGTACATATGTTTGTATATTAATAATCACGAAATCGATTTGCGCAATAGCAAAACAATATATTCAGTTAATGCAAAAATAAAAGTTTGATTTGTAAAATTTTATTAACCAAAAAATAAAAATACTGAAGTCATCGCGCTTTTTCAAAATCTATAAAATACAATGTATTACAAATGTGTGTATGTTTATATATATGAACCACGATTTAGCATTGTTCTTTCGTTTTCAATATACAGTTAGCGCAAATAGCATTTTGTTACTTTAATAAGAAAAAACGTTAACTTCGGTCGCACAGAAGCTTTAAAATACATTTCACATTTACAAAAGATTTCAAACAAAAACTTAATTTTATAATTTTTTCGGATATTGTACCGTTGCGTTTGACAATAATTCGTTTTCACGACAGTCAGGTCTACGTAACAGGAACGGACCCGGATTTTTATCCGACCAAGGACTGTCAAAACAACAGCATTCCTCCAAATGACTTCAGGAATGTTTTCTGCGGTTACAATAACAACCACCCTACTTCGACAAATTTGGAGAATATATCTCGTCAAATGAAAAAGTTTTCCATACAGAGGCCACGTTTTAATCGTTCAAAAATGTATTAATTGAAAACACCTGATCAGAAATATGTACAGAAGTTTGTATTTAGTATTAGACAAATGTGCATACATGTACATTTATATGCCTCTAATTGATATCTACATTTGCAATAGTGTATGCAATTACATGTTAATTTATTCTGCTTTTTAAAAATTTCCAAATTAAGGTATGAATCATCTTAAAGCTTGCGATAATTATAAATATGTATATGTACGTATMTATAAATTTTTTAGAATATAAATATGCGCGAAAGGAAATGTTTAACGTAAAAACCGCGACATTTAATTGTGTATAATATATATATAATATTTTTTATTCCTTTTATAGATTGGCAGACACCAATGCATGTGTATGCATGTACGGAAACACATTGCATTTACTGGTCGCAAAAAGTTTATTTCAGTTGACAGATAACGGTTATAACACATTTTGGCTCAACTCCTTGCTATTTTGAATTTAAAGCTTTGCTTTTGGATGTGTGTCATGCATGTATCGTAAAAAAACATATAATCTCAGCGACTTGTTATAATATACATATATTTCCTTCGGTTTTAATTTATAATTACCTTTTCGTATTTATATTATACATACATACATATGTATATGCATAAATCTAAATAAGTAGGTTTAATACACCACCTTTCTCGTCTTTTGTGTATTTAATATACATGCATACTTATGTACATTGATATGTGCGTATGCACTGAAAATAAAATGAAAAAAAGTTGCTAGCCTCCATTTCAGTACATTGACTTTTGCAAAAGGTTTTTAACCATATCTTATCGCTTTCATACAATAAACTGATACGTATTCGTAATATAATACTAAATCATGCAATTTATTACAAAAAACTGTAAAGAGACGGATTCTTTGTAGTAAAAATGGTTAATTGCGACTTACGACTTACTAACTTGGTAGATGTATATCAGTTGAATCTCCACTACCCTTCTCAAATAAAATAAGGAAATTCCTTTCAGTTTGTTTGGCCGCTATATGCTATAGCAGCTATATGTAACCGTTTATAATACACGCCAAATTTCGTGAAGATATCTTGTTAAATAAAAGAGTTTTTCAGAGAATTTTATAAAAATATCTTGTCGAATAAAAAAGTTTTCAATACAAGGACTTGATTTTGATCGTTCAGTTTGTAAGAGTTTTTGCGGTATCGACGTTTCCAACAAATGAGCAGCTTCTTGGTCAGTAAAGGGCGTGTGCAAAATTTCAGAAGAATATCTCAAAAACTAAGGCACCAATACGCGTTTATACTGGCAGACGGTCAAATAGACGGAGATGGCTAAATTAACTCAGAAAGTTGCAGGATCATATACATACATACATACATAGTATGTACACATGGATATTTTATAGCGTCTTCGACGTTTAACTCGGGTTGTAAAAAGCTTTATGTTAAACTTAATACAAAAATTTAAACTGTTTACAAAAATATATATTTTGGAAAAAACATAAATATATATGTATGTACATAAGTTTATGTATTTATGTGTATTATATACGAAAATATTAATAAATGTACTCTGTTATAAACATGGAGGCGTTTCCGGAGCCAACTGTTATTCATTAGCTTTTTGCATTAGCTGTAAATTTATAATTAATTACAAAAGGTTACAAACATATATATATACATATAAAAAATATTTGTTTCTATAAATTTTTTTAATAAATTGCAATTTCATGCTAATTTTCTTTTATTTTTTACTGATATATATGTGTATGTTTCAATGTATATACATATGCACATCTTTCTGCAATGTTCTGACGTAGCCGCCGTCGATTTATCTCCAGCCTTTACTTTTCCTCTGCGCGTTATCACTCTCAGAGTATTTTGCTGAATTTCACTCTGATTTGTTTGTTATTGTTTTATTTTATTTGTTTATTTACCGCTACTCAGCTGTTCTTTGCTTTGTTTCCATCTTTGCATTTATTATTATTATATTTTMAAATTTTTTGGAGCAAAAAACTGCAGTCGACCAACCACAAAGCGACAGCAATAGCATTTCGGCCAAGTAGAATCAAATAACAAGCCTAAAGCGCTGAAATCAATTGAGATGTTTAACTTTTGCGCTTTTGGAAAGGCAATAGCACTGCAAAATTTATTTGTTATTATTTTTTGTCTTGGCTGCAATTATATTTTATTTATTTTTGTTAAGTTTGTGATAAGTGGATATGTGAGTGCAAATAAATATGCACTTTTAATGTGCAACGTGCTTATGTCTTCAATTCTATTGCAAAACTGAAGTTGTGTGCACTAAAAATCTTTTTTATAATTACTTACATATTATATTTGATTGCACATTATTAAAACCAAGTTTTAGTGTTTGAAACTATGTGGGAAGCTGTGTGGTTGGATGATGAGGTGAGAAATCCCAACGCATTTTAAAATTTAAAAAAATTAAGTGGTATTTATGAAGTGTTCCAGAGACTTCCTTAACTGAAAAATGAAAGAAGAAGAAGAAACATAAACTTCTGTTGYACCCTTAATACCCTTCAAAAATGAAGTTTCTAGAAAAGAACTCAATTATTATAGGTCAGTTTGTATAGCTGCTCTACGCTATATCGGTCTGACCTGAACAATTTGTTCGGAGATTGTGCCGTTGCTTCGGACAATTTCAAATTTCGTGAAGAGATCTTGTCAAACAAGAAACTGTTCCATGCCAGAATTTGGTTCCTATCGGGCATGTGCAAAATTTCAGATCGATACCTCAAAAACTGAGGCTCCGATGTTTTTTATGAAATGTTCAGGGTATAAAAAACACAGTTAAATACATTCATATGTATCGATATCTCAAATGTATGAGTCATAAATTATAGCGGTTGGTATATTGTAGTAGTTAGAAGTGCGCATTACCATTCTGCTGGATCTCACTACGATGTCAATTACACTGAGAGACCACAAATCAATAACTTCTGTCTTAGATAAAAATAAGTAGTAATTATTGTTGTACTTGCGTCACACAGTTGGGTGTTCAACCGGAACGGACCCGAATTTTCAATCAATTCATTCAACATAATTTAGAAATTAAAAAAGTAATAATAAGAAATAACCTCAAATAAAATTTTCAGTTTATTGCTAATAAATACTGCATATATATGTACATATAAATAGCCTTCAATATATTTATCGTTTTCTTATGTACTCTTAAATTTTTTGAACAATTAAATATAAAAAATATAGGACCATAACCTCAATTCATAAACCGGTGATTTATTATGTTCTATATATTAATCGTTTTATTATATGGTCTAACAATTTATAAAAACAAAAAGTAATTCCGTAAAACCAGAAAATATATAACATCATACGCATTTTTAGATTTCTATATTTTACATTGTACATATTATTGTTAGTTTAATTTTATTAACATTTATTTCTCCACATTTCTCCTATTCATTTAATAGAATGTTGCAACAACAGGTCCAAGCCATGCCACCAGCGATGATTTCACATCAATTGATTGCTGCTCACCCGTTGCCAAATATGAGCTGACCGATAACTCCACAGATCATTCGTTTCTTCTCATGGATGCTGAAGAAAATTTGCGTATAGCGACCGCAGACCGCTTCCGTCAGCGACTAAAATGCAGCGATGATACAAAAATCAAAGTGATCTCTATATTTGGCAACACCGGCGATGGCAAATCACACACCATGAATCACACGTTCTTCGGCGGCGCTGAGGTGTTCAAAACGTCAGCGGAGCAGAGTTCCTGCACGATAGGCGTGTATGCGGCTTTACAGCGCAACATGGACGTGCTTTGTCTGGATACGGAAGGCCTGTTGGGCACCTCCAAGCAGAAGAATCGACGCACGCGCATGCTGTTGAAGGTGAAAGTGCGCTACATAGCTTAATAATTATGTTACTTATGCAAAACTTCACTACAGATACTGGCCGTGTCGGACATTGTCATTTATCGCACACGCTCCGAGCGCTTACACAGCGATATGTATGAGTTTTTGGGCTCTGCGTCGGAAGCATTCTGCTTGCATTTCGCGCAGGCACTACAGTCGCTGCCCGTGCCGGGCACAGCGCAAACGCTTGGCCCCGCCGTCTTCATCTTCCACGAAACACAGCATACAAATCCGCTTGACAGCTGTAAGCTATTTCTATCTTTTTATAGTCTTTTTTTTTTCTTTATTGTTTCATCACTTGCCTCCTTCATTTACAGCTGTCGCTGAAAGCGCCGAAGATCAATTGCGCAAACAATTCGACATGCATAACCACAAAATAAACGCGTTTAGCTCGTTGCGCTATATTGGCGTACAAACACTGAAACATTTGGCCACCGATTATAGCAAATTAAGGGATGCCATCAAATTGGAAATCGCCAATACCACAGTACGCTCGCCACGTCATCCCAGTGTTGTGTTCAAAGCGATGAATGCGCTCAATACGAAATTCTCCGGTGAAATTACTGAGGAAACCATAAATCCGTTTCCCGAGCAATTTTTCACTTGCCCAGTGCGTTGTGAGGCATGCAATCAGCGTTGTCAGCGTTCAATGGGCCATATGAGTGACGGCGATGGTCATATGAATCAAAACCAATGTAATTATCAGCATCAGTATGACAATAAGAAGTACATGTGTGAGAAATGCTACAACAAAGGCAAAATGGTGAGTGAAAATTGTTGTTATTATTTTAGAGTAATTATTTTCCAGCTTTGAAAACCGTCAAGCAGAAGCTCCTGCAAAACTCAAGTTATCTGCTGCTTTAGCTGTCCAAAGCTCTTGTTAGCTCCTTAACCTAACCTAAAACTATAATAATCGGTTAATTTTGTAATATTTTTTTTACACAAATGAAGAAGAAGATTTTGTGTAAAGACCATCAGTATAATGTTAAAACTCAGGAGTTTTAGTCTTTTAAGTAGCAAGTAATCTGTTAAAATATCTAGATCGTAATCGCGGAACGTTTGCTCTAAACTCTCAAGACACCTTGAGCTGTTTCCTGTGGGGAATGCTACCTAGTTAAAAATATGAGTCCGTTCCGGTTATGTCATGATTTTTATGGGAACCCCTAACCCGTTTTTATATACGGCCAAAAACAGCCAATTCGTCACTTAACGGAAACCCACGGAGCGAGTTGTTTCGATATGGTCGGACTATAGAGAAAGAGACGTTAAAATGGCATTGCCACGACAGTTGGATTTTTATCCGGACAAAGACTGTCAACTCGGGAAAAATCTGCCGGTACAACAACATGCATTAGGTTAGTTGGTTTAAATAGACATACAAAAAAAAAAAGGTCAATATAATGCGTGAACTCAAGGATTCAAGTCTGTATAAATATCTAATATTTTATTGCGGGAAGTTCACTACTCTACTCACAGTCTATTTTCTCAATACTACTTATACATACTTATTATGGCTGTTAAATCGACTTACAGAATACCATTCACTCATTGAGTGTGCTGATTTGACCGAGTCTGTCTCTAAACCTCGCTCCTTGCATACACCAAATCTTCACAAATTGACCATGTGGATTTCCGTCTGTTCGGGTCACTCTATTATAATTATAACGGTTAATAAATTGGCCATATTACCTTTGGTTTAAGATAACTTTATATCAAAATCGAGTTATATTTATACCTTATATAGTATATGTTCCCTGTTTTAAGATTCGCTTGCATAGAAGCTTCAATTTATTTATTATTGTTAATATGTATTTTCCTAGAATGTAAATCACATGTTAATACCATTTCTTTTCCACTACAGAACGTCGTCACATTTACTACACAAACACGCAGCGACAGCTCCTGGTCCGGACTGGCAAAATATGCTTGGAAGGGCGCCGTTATCGATTGTCCAACTTGCGGAGAAATTTACAGATCACGACAATATTGGTTTGGCAATAAATCGCCGGAAGAGACAGCTGTTAGGTAAATTTAAAGCACATTTTAAAATAATTTACTTTTTATAAATTGTATATCATTGTAAAAATTTTGAATTATCGCTATAAACTTAGCATATATTCTAACCATCTTGCCTTACAGATCCATTATAGTACACGCTTGGGAGCCAAAAGGTCCCACACACTCGGCACAAATGGTGCTGGATAAAGTATCCACGCTCGGTGATGCATTGCCGAAGCTACATCCGAATGCTGTGACCGGTTGGTTAGCGGATTGGGTGGCACCCAGTTATTGGAAACCAAATAGCGAAATTATTGTAAATCCAAAAAAAAAATTTAATGCAAAGTATTTTACTGTTACTTTTTTTTTACAGAACTGCCATGCATGCAAGAAAGTTTTCGAAAATACTGGTTTGCTTAAACATCACTGTCGCTGCTGTGGCGAAGGTTTTTGTCACGCATGTAGTATGAATCAGTTGCCAGTGCCAGCGCGTGGCTGGCGAGATCCGGTGCGTGTGTGTAATATATGTTATACGCTGCTGCAGAAACAGCCAAATGGAGTGCCGGGTAAGAAAATACTATACATAGTCCTTCACATATATACATACAAGTTTTTTTTTCTGATCGGTTGTTAGAATGCTGGAAAACCGCGTTTGTCCGACATCTAAGAGTAGACCTGTACAATCTAGACCTGTGCAATTACTAATTTTTCCGTTTTCCGATTACAACGGTATAGAACATTCTCGACATTTTGGGTATAACTTGCCGAGAAGTCAGTTCCCGACCGTAAAAAAGTATTCTCAATGCGTCTAAGTGACATTTATTTTAAAAAGATTCAAATGCTAGCCAAGATTATGTCTCAGATGGTCCATCCGTTGAGTCCAATGACTCGTTCGAGAATTTCGACTGGTATTTGGCGAATGACACGCGTGATCTGTCAAAAAGAGGCTATTGAAAAAATTTCATCTACTTGGATCAAACCTTAAAATCTAAACTATCCCTTTTCGTTGGCAAGAAACACAAAATTTGGAAAAATTCAGTTATTCAGACTTATTCCTAGATCGTCTTGTGCGCTTGTGTTTTGACACTCTCCAACTTACTTATTTTAGAAACTTTTCAATTGAATTAAACATTGTATACCACATAAAATCGCCAATGTTGGGCAAATTATATATGTATGTATGTATGTATGTAAATGTGTCGTTACGTTTTGAACTATCCAAAATGCACTGCACTATGTTTCGAAACTCTTCTATTTAAGATAGATTGTGTGTCTAAGTTTTGATTCTCGTCACTTTGTGCTTAACAATGTGCTTATTTTTCAAAACTCCAATTTGTACTTTCACAAAGCGTTTTATATTTGAAACTCTTTAACTTAAAATAAAGTTTGTGACTAATTTTTGAAACTCTCCAATGTGCATTGACAATGTGTTTAATTTTCAAAGCTCTCCAACTTAACATAAAATGTGTGACCAAGTTTTGAAACTCTCCAATTTGCGTTGAACTACATACGGTATATGGACATATGTACAGTTTTTAAAAATCTCTTGTTCGCATTTTTTTTTTTTTTTTTTTTTTTTGTTATACATTCCTTTTAGTCATTCTAGTTTCCAGAGTTTAAAGTTTGATTCGCATTTTAAATAGTTTTGTTTATTTTCATTACACATTGTTTCATTTTCTAAAACAAATACATCTATATACATATATATACATTTCTTATTGTACAGCAAATACAACCGAAGCATTTAATCATACCAATTCCAATTCAAATTCAAATCCAAATAATAATATCACAGGCCAAACAACGACTGAGCAAGCTGACATAAGTCTGCGCCAAATCGGCGAGGTGATCATCAATCCGTTGGGCAACATAACAAAGGGTGCCTATGAATTTACCAAAGGTTTGCCATATTGTAACAAAAAAAAATTATATTTTCTTTAATAACAATGTATATATATATAAACTTTCACACAGGAATCATCAAGGACACTGCACGACCCTCATACTGGGTATCGGACGCCAGTTCACCCACCTGCTACATTTGTCAGACACTTTTCGGCACTGCCGAAGAGCTAGCCATAGCAAAGGCCAGTGGCGCCTCCACGAGCAGCCGAAACACAAAACACACACATGACACACAAGCAAAAGACAATATAGCCAATGGCAATATGAGTGATAGTATCACAAGTAATCTATCGAATGGCGGCGGCAAATGTAACATACCATCGCCGATTGGCCACTGTCCGCGTCATCATTGTCGGCGTTGCGGTAAAGCGGTTTGCGAAAAATGCTCACAACAACGCCAACCAGTGCCCGAGCATGGCTGGGATGAGCAGGTGCGTGTCTGTGATAAATGTGCCGATCCAAAACAATGCGAGCCGACCGCCAGTTGCAGCAACAATGCTAATAACGGCAGCGCCGATTGAATTCGCATGCGCATAAATTACTTTGCTATGATTTTGTTTTTGTTTGAAGTTTGCATTTATACGCATATGCCACTGGTATGGCGGCATTTGCACATTGGACTGAGCAGTAAAAGGCCTACAAATCGTAAAAATTCGCACACACAAATATAAGCATTACCACATATCTCATATTCATTTTCATACATTTTATTTGTTAAAATTAATTTTCTATAGACATATACATATTTGAGCGGTTATGCGTCCAGTGAAATATGCAGCTTTGCTTTTCTTCACACAAAAATGGTCAGTTTCTTGTACAAGTAGAGTTATTTTCCAACACAGGAGTGGTTAGTTTCTTATATAAGAGTGGTTAATTTCTTAGATAAGAGTGGGCAGTTTCTTGTATAAAAGTGGTCAGTTTGTTATGTAAATGTAGCTTGTTTCTTATATAAGTGTGGTGAATTTCTTATATAAAAGATTATACGCATCTAAAGTATATATTTTGTACTTATGACAATGGTAAACCAATATAGCTGTGCTTATATCTTAAAATAGCATAAGTTGTCTCTGACTAAATTATGTATTTTGTTTGTTAATAAGTGCTGCGAGTCTATTTCAACATAATTTATGGCTAGTTTTGAAAAACTATCATTTGAGCTGACAAACAACGTCATAGCGCTTATAAAACGAACAGCATTACTCAAAATAATCACTTTTGCCAGCGCATACTTAACCTATTTTAGTTTATTACCACAGTTTTATAGTTATCAACTCGTACACAAATAATTTTGGCAATGAATTCGCAATACAAAAACCTTTTTCCGGCGCTCAAAAAATTTTAACTTAAAAATATTTTTTTTTAATTACTATATAATTGAAACATTAAAGTCCATTTACTGCATTAATATTACACCACACTTTGGATCTTGGATTTTTTTCATTAAAGTAAATTTCTTATGTCTTAACTTTCTAATTCGCCGTTAAGCGCTTCATATTGTATATGTATGTTTATAGAAAAAATTATAAAAAATCGATTTAATTTCACAAAGGCTACAAAATTGTAATGAATGATTGTGATACTTGATAAGCGTTTATATATAGATATATAATTGTTTATTTGTATGCATTGTGAGATGCTAATTTCTCTCCCAAATTATATTTACTACCTAGAGTTATATAAGTTGCATGGTAAAATAAAATGTAAGCGATATATATATATTTATATATATATATGTATATAAATATGAAGTTAGTTTATAGTCAAAAACAATGAAATGTGGCAACTGTTGCGCATGCGTGGTCAGTATTTTTGGCATACAAACAATTTGGTTGCATAAATCTGTGATTATGCCCGGCAGTGGCAGCACTGTTTGTTTCATTATTTGACTATATCAAATATGTATGTATTGGTATATATATATAAAATATGAGGAAAGGAATATGTTTCTACGCTATCTTAATGGATTCAATGTTATTTTAATTTAGTTAACCAATTTAAGTGAAGTGAAAAGTAGCTGAATTGTATTCTCATATATTTTTTTTGTCTGAAAAAAATGTTGCTTCTAGTTAATTTTCTTATTTTATGCAACACGCGTTTAAATTCAAACTTTTCATTGTAATACTATGTAATGTAAACAAATTAAATAAAATTGCATCCTTTTCTTATCAAATGTGTTTTTGTATACTTATGTAACTTTTTCAAACTGCTTTTATGTGTATGCGCCGTAAAGTAGGCTACTTAAAGGTTTTTGCTCGGTGCACAAAGGCACCATGAAGTGTGGTGAAAAAAATTTAAAAATCATGTATCGAGCTTGTGAAGAGAAGAATAAACAATATGTGATTAAGAGTTTATAAAAATAATATTGGCAATGAATTTTTTCGCCTCGTTCCGAATTTGCGATACCAAAACCTATTTCTTATGCTGAAAAAGTTTTAACCTTAAAAACGATTATTTTTGTGTTATAATTACTATATATACAGTTGAGCTTCCAAAACTCGAATCACCATAATCCACAAGAAAAGACATCCTTGTGTTTGTTGACGTGCGTTTTTTGCTGCAATGCTAGGACCTCGGAGCGTACGCAGGTCTAAAACACTGGAAACATGTCTTCCGTCTATCACAACATGATCGATTTGATTGGTGGCTTTTCGAGGACAGACAGGTAGCTTGATGGAATTTCCTGTGCTAGAATCTAATACTAATAACCATATTTCGATTCCCGGCGAAGACGATCAGCTTCAACCCATGGCTCTTTCATCATGGAGACTGAATTTACCGACCATTGTGCCAAAGATAACTTCTTAGCCCACACTGGCGTTAAAGTCGCCAAACACGATTTTGACATCGTCGCGACTTACATAAAGCTTTTTCTTTTAGCGACCACCTAAAAATTTATTATTTGGCAATACAACAAAAATTCATAAAATAATGTTTTTTAACTTTAAGCTTTTTTATGGACTTCACATAAAAATTTTAAAACTTAAATATTTAAAATACATGAAACTTTGTTGATTTGCAACAATTTAGAATTAAAGTTATTCGTAAATTCGCTGAAAAAAAAATTAAAAATAGTTATGTATTTTTAAGCATTCATTTCAAATTTATTTTAAAATTTTATTGTTATTCATAAATATAATAATTATATTTTATTTTTAAATTCATAAATTGGGTTTTACAATTTTATATTTTTACGAAGCACAAACATTTGTTTAGGTAGCTGGAGGCAGTACATTTATTTAGGAGGATCCACAGTATTTTGAAACACAAGGAAATTATTTAATATAAAAATTAGGTAAAGTAGAGAAAATAATTTTTAGGTAAAAATATATAAATAGGAAAAAATTTATAAATTATTAATATATATATGCAAAAAATTAAAATAAAAAAAAATTTATAAAAAATAATATGCCAAAAATCAAAAATTAAATTATTTTTATTTTTGTAATATTATTTAGTGTTTATTCTTAAGCAATACACACATAAAATTTTTTTTTTTTTAATTTTTATAAATAGAAAAATTCGGAATACAAAAAATAAAATTACATTTCAAAATTAATTGATGCACAGTAATTTTCAAAGCCATGAATTTTACAGCAATCTTAAGTGGGCGTGAGACTTCAAACTGCGCTTATCCCGATACTACTCCTTCATAAGTGTTTTAATGTATTATACATATGTACATTAAACAAGAACAAAATAAATTTATTGTGTTTCAATTTAAACGTTTGAGTCCAATTTCTAAATCAACTTTGCAAATGTGAGGTTAGTTTTTGAATTACAACAATTAAAATAATAATAACATTACAATTAAAAAATATAGGCTTTAGAAATAGAATATAGAAACTGATGTTTATATAACACCAACGCCAGTTTAATATGGCTTCTATTTAAAGAAAATACACTCAATACACTGTAAGAATACACAAAACACAAAAATACACAAGACTTGTATTATTATTGTACTAATGCTAAAACTTACAAGCACAAAATTGAAAATTAAATTGAAAATAATTCAATATTTTACTGTTATGCTTAGACGTTAATGTAAAATTTGCCTTTAATGCATTCTCTATTTTAAAACGGTACACGGTAAAAAAAAATAATAATTAAAAAAAATATAAAGTTTTTGTTTAAAGAAATGCAAATTTTTTATAAACAAATTTTGCAATTAAAAATGTTGAGCTTAATTACACTGAAGCCAGCGTTTTTCACAGTTACATTTGTAAAGTTGCATTTTGTACGTTAAAAGTATAAAATTTCATTAACTTTCATTAAATTTTTAAGTAAAAAATAATTTTATTTTATTTGTTGCAACTTTCAAGCAACATAAATATTATAACTTTAAGTGCTCTCTGACTAAATAAATCAAGTACTTTAGTAGCAAAATAAATAGATATAGAGTGTTTATTCTCCCCACTTTGTGCTTAGAATATGTAGTTATACATTTTATGTATGTACATACATATCTAATGTACAAAGGATAACTATACTTTCACACTCAAGCAGACAAAAATGTATGCATATTTAACGGTAAATTGTGATAGCAACGATTTGCATACATATTTAAAACAGTTACTATTAAAATGCCACATAGCATGCCACTTTCTAGCAAACAGAAGACAATTTATATAGTTCTCTTGAGAGCAAGCGCCTAAAGAATATACGCTTAAATCGAGAAAGGGATGTAATGAAGTAAAGAAATATAAATATAATAAATATAAAAATCATATTTTTGAAATTCAGCGCAATTTTGTTTGAAAAAATAAGCGACTTCAAATGTAATATTGCGAAATGCAAAAATAAGTATTCGGGATTCTTTGAAAATCACTCAAATCAACAACAAAAACCAAAATGTAGAATATGTTTGCAAGTTATTCAATAACTGCAGTAAGTTTTTGTTTATCTGTGCCGTACGTTTTGTTACTCGCTTAAGAAAAAACATTCCTTTTTTTAAATACACTTTTGTGCTTTTAGCATAACAACAAACCATAAGGCTAGCTAAATTAGCGTCATAAACACTATCACGTTTTGAACTATTTTCATAAACAGATAATAAAAACTATATAGCCAATTTAATTTCAAAGTGGCTGAGTCGCTCCTACAAAACTTAATACTTTCGGTCGCGTTGTGAAGGTATTTTTAAATACAACAATGGCATCGTATATCACTTTTTGCGGCTCGGCAAATATGTTCGCCTCATTTTTATCGAAAACCTCCAAATCGCCCACCGTTGAAGCGCTGCTGTTGCTGCCGCTGCTACTGCCGTTAGTTGCATTGTTGACATCTTCGTCGGCGCCAATACCCAAAGTTGCTGTTTCGTTGATGACTTTGAAAATTTGGATTATGTAATTGTCATCAGCACGCATTTCTTCCAGCTGATCGGCAATGGATTGCAAGAAGAGACGCTGCGCCATAGTCGACACGACACTTTCTAACAATTGAGAGAGAGTAATGAAGAGAGGTTATTAATTTGTATATTTCAAAGGTTACTATACTCAACTCAGTCCTATATCGTCGGCTAGGTTGTTTACAACGATTTTAGCAGTATAATCGCGTATTTCAAAGTCATCATCCATGAGCAGCGCCAGCGTTAGTCCAATGAATAAACGTACAAATGGTAATTTTTTCTTCTCCAAAGCTTTATTAAAATGTACAGCTATGTGTGATAAGATTTGTGCAGCCTTCAATCTGAAAGTGTTGACAGTTAACTTCTATAAGTTTATATGTGGGTACATTAGTAGTTATGTTTTTGAGTTGGTAACCGATAAATTTGAAAAAAAAAAAAGCATAAAAATATTACTCGTGGCTATTCCAAGCTATATTACACCCCTCATAGGTCAATTTCTTATAGCTTAAAAAGATATAAAAATATATCTATCTTGATTTGAACCAATCAAATTTTATGTAGCCTGTGGAGGATGTAAAAATATCTCACTTACCTCAAACAGTCGGGATTCCAGGCTTGTGAAATTTCCAATAAATACTCCAAATATGATAGCGATACCTTCGAGTCAACACCGCCTTGTTTAATCACCAAACGCTCCACACACATGGTCAGCGGTGACTTAACATCACCCGTATGCTTTCTAGACTCTTTCAACAAGTGACTTAAAGTGAAATCGAAGTTATCCAATAAACTAAGTATGGCATACGCTTTCATCACACACTCCGGATAGTAGAGTGGCTTTGGCAGGAGTTCCTTCAGTGTGGCATGCAGAGCTTTACTCTGCCGCAACTCTGCGGCCAAACTATCGCGCATCTCAACGGGCAGAGCGCGTACGAAACGCTGCTCTTCATGCGATATTTCGAATTCTGACAAATCCATTTCCTCTGGCCCTAGTATTAGTAGTATCACATTGAGGCAAACTTCCGCTTGTTCCAAATGCATGGTGGCATGCGTGAGCGGCGGGCAAAGCAGGTAATCAGAGAGCGCACCGAATGGCAGTGTCAAACGTAAAGTATGTAAATTGTAAATATAGAAAGATTTGCGCAGCACCGGATAGTAAAAGCTCAGTTCAGCATTGTAAAGCTCCTTGTGTGTGGTGAAGTAAAGTAAGTTTTGTATGGTTTGTTGTTCATAACTGAGAGTCTGTTGGCTGTTATTGTAAATAGAAGTTATTAAAATATTTTTAAGTATCTACATAAATGTAGTAAATACCTTTGTAGTATCTCGATAAAAATATCCAAAATTAATTTGAGTATAACGGCGTTTTTTATTTGAGTTTTCTCCTGAACCACCACCAATGTGGCCGCTATATCCCCGACTAGCTCAGCATCGGGTCGTTTAAGTGCTTTTAGTAGCATATAAATCTGCAAGAAAAAATTATTTGTAATAATAGAGGTAAATACGTAGTTAAATACAAATCGACAAAGCGCTTTGAGTCTGTCACAAATTTGTTGAAAGGGCTGTCAGTTTCAGCTATATCTCCTGGCTCGCGAAGGTAAGAGTACCGAGATTCTTCAATCTCAGTTTTTCAAAGGTTGGACAATGTAGGTGAAAGTACCTGGATGTTTTCGTGAACAACATAGCAAGGAAGCCCCCCATTGGCCAGCTCATCGGATTTGCAATTCTCATTCAATTTCCTAAAAAAGGCTGCACCTCGTAGCAGTACGGCTGCTGCCGCTTTAATAGCAGCCAGTTCTGCCTGAAAAACACTACAGTGTACCGGTAGCCTAAACGAGTGTAAAACCACGCCGTAGGCTCTTCTTTCTCTAGACTGAATAAGGAAGAGAAGCAAATGGGTCTGGTAATGATTGAGGGCAAGACGAAATATCTCCTGTCATCTGCGATGCAGTTATCCAAGTTTTCAGCTCCCCAGAGCATTATATCGCAATGTCCACGGGGGCTATGTGTGATATGGCATTATGGTCTCCAAAGCAGTGAGCAAAATATCCCACCCTGCGTGTTGCACTACCCCACTCCGTTACGACCATTCTGTCGCAAAGAAGACTAAATATGGTGGTGCTTGAGGTTCGTTTTCACCTGAAACTTTTCGAGGTTATTAACCGCCACATCCGGCCACACATTGTATTATAAAAGGCCTTGACATCGAGAAAGGTGCCTACCGCAAATTCCGTATGCATAACAACATAACACTACCTGCTTCAGAACAGTGTACACCGACCTGCCTTGCATTTTGGGGTACCATACGCATGAACATTGAGTTCTCATGACAGCTCTCTCTACACTATCGCAAAAAGTTTTCTTAGCTCTCTTCAGACTTGTAGCTTCTAAGCTTGTGGAAGATATGCGGCAATAAAATAATGCTTGACACTTACCTGCAGCAGTTGGCCATGTAAAACATTCAAATTCAACGTCTTGGAACGATCAGCCGAAATCTATAGGTACATATAATAAAAAAAAATTGCATCAGAAAAAAAAAAAAAAATATTAAATCTAAAAATAAAACCAGATTGGTACGCACCACAATCTCAGCACACATCTGCAGTACAGTGACCGTTATTGCATCCTTGGAGACTAGCGCCACAACAGCTTTTGCCGCTAGATAACGCGTCTGCATATTAGGACAACTCGCACAATTCGCTATGTACGGTATAAACTCGCTTAACTGTAAGTAAACAGAACGATAACGAAATTATAAGAATGTCTACTTGAAGAAACCATGGCAAACCACCTTCAAATTGGACTCTGTGCCCTCCAGCGCGGACGGATATAAGCGACTTAATAACAACAATAGCGGATGTAGGTTATGCGCCTTCTGTTGCTGCTGCACCAATGCGCTGGCTTCTTGCAACTGCGCCAGAAAGAAATCATACAATTTGGGATAACGCAAAAAGAACACACGTCCGGTCATCTTATTGCGCACATTCAAATTATCGGAATCGCGCGTGCGCTGCACACCGAAAATGCGTGTAATAAGCGCCGCGAAGAGTAAGGTGGCTGAATTTTTTTCCGACCACGTTTCGGCATTGTAACCGCGTATGGCGCAAATGACACCGTCGCTCACATACTCCACCACCGCCTCGTTCAGATCGGTGCAACGAAAGAGCGCACGCAATATATTCAAGGCATGCGTACGCGATTCGGCGCTGCGTTCGCGTGCGGCGCATAACTGCAGCAAATGTGACATGGCATAGTAGAGCGATTTTGTGGAGCCCACGCGCAATTCGGATGTAATGAGCGCTTGCACCATAAACGGCACGCCCGCGCTGCGACGTGTCGCGCATATCTTCTCATTCAATTGTTCGTCTTTCGCAATGAGCGTGAGCAATTCGCGTAACCATTGCATGGGTAGCGAATTCAAATCGACCACCTCCAAGCACCACAGGCGATAACAAAGTTTTAAGAAGCCAACATAGGCTTGTTCGAAGGCGCCACGATGTTTGGTTTCGGCCAGTAACTGCTTGAAATGCTCGCCGATCTCAAGCAATTGCTCTTTGGTGATGAGAAATTGTTCGGTAAATTTACTCAGCTGTATACGTGATTCCAACACTATTTTGCCCAATATCAGTGATACCTCCTTGACGGTGCGCCAAGCGCATAGCAGCACCATTTGCGGTGTTGTCTTCACATTCGACAGATCGGCTTTGGCTAATTTGGCAGAAAGTATTTTAGTATTAGCATCAGGGTTTGTGAGCTCTTCGCCATACTCTGCGGGCAGTTGGCTGAAGTCATTCGGCAAATGACCTTCAGGTGATGAGCTATTCACCACAGGCGATACAACGGTGGTCAGCTCCTTACACAACACAATCAACTCGGCTATAATTATGCGCCATGGTATCTCTACTTCCAACCGATCAAATTCGAGTAGCTGTAAGATGCGCCTTACGGCAAAAAGGACGCCATATAATGGATTCAATTTGGCCGCTTGCAGCAGACTCTCTTTAGCCAATTTCAGACCAGCTTTCAGTTCTTGCAGGAGCCAACGTAAAGCGGCATAATAGTAGGGTTGATATTGCGTTGGCTCATAACTGCCAAAGCTGCTGATGTGTTCGTTTCGATTACAATAAAATTGCAATTGATATGCGCCGGTTACCGAATCGGCTGGACGGACCGATGTCAAGTTTTTGCAGATATGTGCGAGTGTGATATTCAATTGATGTTTTTGTATTAAATCACAATTCAAATTTGTTTCAATGAACGACAAAGTACTTGCAGCTGACGCTTTGTTGGCTTCGTATGAGTCAGCAAGCACATCGGCAAGCGCTTTAACGGTATATGGTGGTAACACGTGATCAAATGATATATCGCGATTGTTGCTAATCTGTAAAGCCGTTGATAAGAGTTGTAAAGACACTGAACGGCGGCTGAAATTGGCGCCCTGAAAGAGAGAAAGCCTATTAATTTACATACAAATGTGTTAAAAAATAATAAAAAAAAATAAATAAATAAATAAAATACGAGGTGTGTACAAAAAATTAAGTGACTAATAGTTTTCTGACACTTTTTGATACCTTGAACAGGTATTAAATATGTTCCCACTACGTTTGTAACGCCCAAAAAAACGTCACAGAGGCTACACAAATGATTAACTAGACGAGTTGAGTTAATTTATTCATTTTCGTCTGTCTGTCGGTCTGTATATATCCAATCTAAAATTATTCACCTGCCCTTTTCTCACCAAGAAGCTGTTCATTCGTCGGAACTGCCGATATCGGATCACTATAGCTAAGAGCTCCCATAATTAATAAAATTTTCCATTTGCGTGAAGCAATAATTCAAAATTCATGATTTGCCACCGAATGATTTTTTTTTACAAAAACAACAATAAAATAATGTTGATTGTTTGAATTCAATTGCAGACTTTCAAGAAGCGGCGAAAATTTTCTGCGATTGAAAATATTTCTCCTCGATCCATCGGTTAAGTATATACCAAAATACTGATCAGCAGTGCTTTTAGAATTGGTAACTGCTTCGTTTGAACTGTAGGTGAATTTTTGAAGGCAACCACAGGTATATGAATTTAACAGTAAAAAATGAACTGTAACCTTACTTTTGGTACACTGTGTACTCTTATTTGTATGATATTACTGACTGACTGTCAAATATAGAATAAATAATAAAAATTATAATAAATAGCCGTAAAAATACCTGAAAAAGATTCTCCACCAATTTCTTAATAACATCGCGCAAAAATTTCAATTGCAATGGCGCATCAGCACCAATGCCTTTACCAGCAGCGCTTGCCGCATTAACTGCCTTGGCGGGTTTATAATCCTTAAGCACTTTAACAAGATTTACTTCACAGCGATATAGTGCTTTGTCGAACAAGGCTAGAATTTTTTGACGTGTCGCTGGACTTTGACAATTGGAATTGTATTCGAGGAAGGTAAGCATATTTTCACATTCCAACAATGTCAGCAACTCCGTTGACTTATTTGTCTCCACCAACAAGCGCAAGGCCATAATGCGCGTTTCATCCGAATTGCAGATTATGCTGTACACAAGATTGCTGGAGAATTGTTCCATTATTTCGGTGAAATCATCAACTTCAATGCCCGTCGTACGCACAGCCCACAGAACCGATAATTTTGTGCTAATCGGTATTTCAGCTGGATGTTGTATGATATGCTTTACAATTTTCGGTTCACATTTCACCGCTTTAACAATTAGCGCTTCGATGTCACCCAAACGCGCGTCATTAGCAGTGGCTATCACAAGCAGATATTCGATCCAAAGTTTGAGCCAAGCTTCGTATCGCAACTCTTTGTGACTGGCAAACATAAGTGCTGTAAAAAATATGAAATATTATATATAAAATATGTCTACTATTTTATAAGTTAGCTGTAATTACTCTCAAATAAGTTTTTCGCCATGAAATCACGACCGAGCTCTTCGGCGAAAATGTTTGTAAATACTTCGGAACATTGATGTATTATGGCATCTGCGCCCATAATTGCTACAGTTTGTTGCAGCACTACACATTTCATAGAAAGCGACAGTCGATCAGAATTACAGGCATCATAAATCTTTTGTATGAGAAAGTCAAATTTAATTTTTTTGGCCGCTGCCACAGTATTACGCAGCAAATCCCGACACAAATGCCGCACGCTATCCATGTGGTGCTCTAAATAGCCAAATGTGAATATTAAAAGTTTACGTAATATCAACTTGGCATCATCGGTGGGTGGTGCTTGCTGCTTTAATTCAAAAGTGAGTATAATTTTTGATATCTGATAAAGTGCACGTGTAGCGCAAAGTAAAATATTCGGCACCGTCGCATTAGCGTTTGCAATTTCCTCTATTTTGCTGCAAATATCGCGTATATCTGCCGATATATGTTGAAAATCATGGTGATCAAAAGTATTAACGATGCCAACACATAACGCAATCTCATTGGGATTCTTAGTCAGTTTGACTTCTTGTATAAAACTTTCATAAGTAGCCGTTAGTTTGGCGTTGTGCGCTAATAAAATACCAGAATTTGTGCGTGGATCCATGGGTATTTCGTCGTCGCGTACAATTTGCTGACATAGCGCAGCTAACTGTTTGAGTATGTCACTGTGTATTTCTTTGACTTTTGCGCCATACTCCTGTACACAGCTGAGTAGCAAGTGTATAGCATTGTGTACATATAAGTAGTACTCATTACGCACGGATGGTGAACTAAGCACACTACAACGGAGTCGAATATGAAATTGTAAATAGTAAATAAACAAATATATGTTTGGACTGTTGACACGAACCCCAATTCAGTAAGATATTTTTGCACCGCCGAGCTGAGAAAGGGAAACACATCAACTATGCTTTGCTGAAATGCTTTAAGGCCACTATCGAAATTCTCGAAACAGCCAGACATTGAAGTGATTGTAAAATTCCAAGTGCTGCTCTCAGTCTCTACTCTAGTTTCCTCCACTAAACGTTGCAATGTGTGTGACAAAGCGTTTACAATGGATGTTTCATCTGTATCACCGGTTCCCAGCCGGGCAGCTGTAATTAGAAGCCTGCATGAAAAATTAAAGACATATATATGCAAATTTCAACTAGAAAAAAAATTTAATACAAAACTTTAAACTACTTACCTAAGTATTTGATTACGTACGGGATGCTTAAGCGGACAATGAAAATATAAGTCTGCCAAAAATTGCAATGCTTGGATATCTCGGCTAAGGTTTTTAAATATCTAAATTATAAAATATTTAAAAACCGTAAATTTATGTTTACAATAGATATGCATATACATATGTACGTGGGTATGCATGTATATATGTACTTACATTTTTCACGGCCGTCACCTGTTCTGATATCGAATTGGCACCCTTTAATTCAATACAATAACTCGCATCGGCTGTATTTTTAGATAAAAACACAAACGTGTAAATTTTGTTTACAAATTTTAACTAAAGCTTACAATTTTCATAAAGTTTTGGCAACGTGACAAGCGTAGTCCGCATTTCGGCATTCTTCTTTACATTGTCCCCGGTCTTCACCGAAGACACACGCAAATTTAGTGAATTCATTGCTTTCTGTTTAATTGGTTTTTCTTTCCAACAGTTTATATAAAATATAAATACAAATGTCTTTGATATTAAACTGTGATATTTCAAAAACCTAGAAATCTGATAGTAATATAAGCAACAAAAGACCGCAAAAGCGGAACTATCAGCTGGGCTAATAGTGTTTACCACTCCAACTTTTTTCCCTATCATTTGTTGATAACACCAAATCTGCCCATATCCATAAATGTTGATGTATACTACACTCTTCTTAAAAACAGCTGTTCAAGTTGCTGCCACTTTGAATATATTTAAAAAAAAATTAAAATGTTTTATTTCTCAATCGTAAAGGATTGTCGGTAAACTTCAAAACGCAATTTTTAAATACATTAATTAACTAAAAGCAAAGTTAACAACTATATTAAATTGAAGTTCTGACTTTATATTTTAATAATTTAATTTACTGAAGTGTGGTAACCCTATCATTTTTAGTGAGTGCTGCACAACACGTGTAAGCCGCAAATTTATTCTACTGGTAATTCAGTAAATTAATAATTATAAGCTGTTTTTAAAGACTTTTTCGCAAATCAGTCACTAAAATGGGTAAGAAGACTAAAGTTGGAAAGGCGCGGAAAGATAAGTTTTACCAGCTCGCGAAGGAAACAGGTTTGTACATATTCCAGTTCCCAATGAAATCTTTAGTTTTATGAATTTACTGCTTACAGGTTTTCGTTCCCGTGCTGCATTTAAGTTGGTACAACTTAACCGTAAATTTGGTTTCCTACAGCAATCACAAGTATGTATAGATTTGTGTGCAGCGCCAGGAGGTTGGATGCAAGTCGCCAAACAAAACATGCCTGTATCGAGCATTGTTGTTGGTGTAGATTTGTATCCCATTCGTGCAATACCAGGGTGTATAAGTCTAGTTGAGGACATTACCACTGAAAAGTGTAAACAGTCGTTGACCAAGGAGTTGCAATCGTGGAAAGTTGATGTTGTACTACACGACGGTGCTCCGAATGTGGGTCGCAATTGGTTATTTGATGCTTACCAACAAATATGCTTAACATTGAATGCGTTGAAACTTAGCACACATTTTCTACGTAGCGGCGGTTGGTTTGTTACGAAAGTGTTTCGTTCCAAGGATTATAACGCATTATTATGGGTATTGAAACAATTATTCAAAAAGGTACATGCCACTAAACCGAGTGCTTCTCGTAAGGAATCGGCTGAGATATTCATAGTTTGTCAAGGTTATTTAGCGCCCACAAAAATAGATCCACGATTTTTGGATCCTAAATATGTTTTTGAAGATTTAGATATCGATGGCAAGAAAAAAAATCCCTTGCTACATCCTGAAAAGCAGAAACGCGTCAAGGCCGAAGGTTACACAGAAGCAGATATTGCGCTGCGTAACGAACTATCTGCCACGGAATTTATGCAGTCCAGCAGTGGCTTAGGAGCGCTACAAAGTATAGGTTCAATAATCATCGACGATGAGCGTATCGCAAAACATCCAAAGACAACTCCAGAAATTCTGGAATGTTGCAAGGATATTAAGGTACTTGGACGCAAGGATATTAAAGGTTTGCTAGCATGGTGGAAGACCTTAAAAGATGAATTGTTTAAGAAACCTGAGAAGGAGACCTCCGTTATAGAGGAGGAAGCTCCAAAGAAAACGCTCACACAAGAAGAAATAGAGGATATGGAAGAGGAAGAATTGCAACAACAAATAGCTGAACTTGCCGAAGACGAACAACGGGAGGTCAAACGGAAACGGAAGAAAGAACTCAGAGCAAAACAGAAATTACATGAAAAAATGAATCTAAATATGGTGATCAAAGGCGATGCGGGACCACAAGAAGAGGCTGAACTGGAAATATTCGATTTAAAGAGTGTTAAATCACAACGTGAACTAGACGAAATGTTGGATGTGGTGCCTGATTTTGATGTTGAAGGCGAAGCAGTCGAAATACCGAAATTGCCAAAATATAAAGCTTACGATAAAGATGATAAACGTCTGGATGATGATGCCAACTATGAAAACGACGACGAACCCGATGTGTCCGCGGGGGAAGATTCTGAAAGTGACTATGAAAAGGATGGATTGGGTTTGAGTGAAGACGAGGACAATACAATCGAGGCACAGAAGAAGAAGAAACGCACCGAACATCCGCTTATAAAATCTGGAGACTTTAGAGATAAGGACACAAAACGTCAACAGCGAGTGCAATTGTGGTTCGAAAAAGATAATTTGCAACAAATAGATTCAGAAGATGATGAGGATTACGATTTGGATCGGTTAGCAAATGAATATAAAAGTAAAGGTGTAGCAGTACTGGGCGAATCACAGCAAAATACCGATTCGGCAAAATTGCCTTTAGGCAAGAAAGCTAAAAGGCGTGCAAGACATGATGACGCAAACGAAAAGTCGAGTTCCGAATCCAGCGATAGCGACTCTGATGCCACTGTAGATGAGAATGATCAAGATGGTAAAAACAAAGTTGCCGGCAATATGGCAAAAGGTGAGTGGAGCATTAAATTATAAATTATAAATTATGCATATATAATAAATTATATATATATATATTTATTAATTTTTTTTTTTTTTKTTAGAGCCAAAGGCGAAGAAGGTACGACTTTCCGAAGAAGAGCTTGCTCTTGGATCTATGATGATTAAGGGCAAGAAAACACGCCGTGATCTTATAGACGGTGCTTGGAATCGTTATGCCTTCAACGACGAAAATCTACCACATTGGTTCGTACAAGACGAAGATTTACATATGCGAAAGCCAGTACCAGTGCCAAACGAAATCATAGAGGAGTATGAACGTAAAGTGCAAGAATTGAACGCACGGCCAATTAAGAAGGTAATGGAGGCTAAGGCACGCAAGCGCAAACACGCGCTCAAACGTTTAGCCAAAGCAAAGAAACAAGCTGAAAAAATAATGGACGACAACGACGCGACGGCACAAGAAAAGGCAAAACAGCTAAGAAAGATTTACAAGAAGGCGCAAGAGAAGAAAAAGGAAATTACTTATGTTGTAGCGAAAAAGCATCAAGCAGCGAAACGTGCGCGTCGTCCCGCCGGCTTGAAGGGACGTTACCGTGTAGTCGACCCCCGACAGAAGAAAGACAAACGCGCATTGAGTGCGAAATCAAAGCGCGAAAAGAAACGTAAGGGCAAAAAATAAAACTATATTAGTCAGCACTAAATTTTTACATATAGTTATATGCAGAATTACATAATAATAGTTGTAGTTAATAATTGATTAAATGTATTTACAAATTCACAAAGGTTTTTTATTTTCAAACAGAAAATTTGGCATTTTTATACCCAAAATAGGGTATATTGTTTAAAAGGTAAAAGTAAAAGATTTTTTATGTTTTTTTTTTATTCTTCAAAGACAATTAATGTATTTATTCATTACTTTTTTACAACAGTAACTAAAACTTTTCTTAACGCTTAAGTAACTTAAATATTATATATAGACAAAATACTTTGAACGGAATAATAAGAAATGAGAGTAAGCTTTTAACTTTAGAAATATTGTTGTACGAGTATATATTTTTTACATAAGAACGCCTGAACTAACCAACCACCAATTTTGTCATATACTTATCATATTTTCTTTCTTATAACTAAATAGTTATAATATTTAAGAAAATATCCATATTCCTACATTCACAACTACAGTGTGTACAGAAAATTGCGTAAATAAGGCACCAATTCCTTTGTAAAGCCCTTTGTAACCTTCCATAATTACAATGGTATTAAAACAGTCTCCGAATCCTTGGTAATATGTTTTTAGCGGTTGCAAACTCTTACCATTATCAAGATTATCTATAATAGTGTCAGTATCCTGTAGTAGAAGGCGATTTAGAATAGTTTCCAACGGATAAAACGTAACCTCGGTAATGATGCGTGCAATCAGATCAGATCTAATTTCCATTTTTTGATTCTCAAATTCGGTTGGTTTTAGTTTTCTTTTCTTACGCAAAATGGCCAAAGTAGAGTTTTTTACCAGCGCTCTAGGTGTACAGAAAAGTGAGTAATTATGGTTTTTGGAAGGTGTGCAATTTGCGGTACTCATTTAGTAAGCAATTAAATTAATTACCTAAATTCGTATTTTACGATTTCCATGCATATATAAGGGAAAAACAGTGATTTTACTGATATTTGACGTTGGCTGTTAGTCGAATTGGTACAACCGATACCGGGTAACCCCAAGTTTCCTACAGTGCTCATTAAACACAGCCTTTTTAGTCCGAGGGCAGCAGCTTCGAGACTATAAGCGAAAATAGTGCAGACAAATTTGAATATTTAAAGAGCGTATTAAATATTTCAAGATATGAGCCAAAACTTAAGAAAAAAGTAAATTATGAAAGTTACAAGTTTCGCACAGTATATAACCTCCCTCGCAGCATGTTCATCTGCGCTGCAGTACTAAAACCACTAAGTATTAAGGAAAAATATAAAAAAAAATTAAAATAAAACCGTTTTGTGAATGCATTAAAAACTAATTTAATTAACAATTGAGTTAATTTTTATTTTTTAGTCCGGAAACTTTTAAAAAAGAAAAATGTTTAAATTTTAATCTTAAATACCGGATTGAAAATAAGAAACAAAATCGCAATATGACTAAAATATTTAATTTTTAATTATTGAATTACAAACTTCGCAAACCTACTGAAATATATGCTAAACACAAAAAATAAATATATATTACTTTCGTTTTATACGAAATATTCGAAAACCAATCTCATTTTAATAGAAATTTTTTCTCAGAAGCTAATTGACTAAATTAAGGTTCTACCTTTAAAATTAAAAATCAACAAATATTTTTACGTTGCGAGAATATAAAAAAACATATAATTTTTTGTTTATTTCCGCCATTACATACATACATACATACCATTGGCGTATTATACAGACAATTAACGGTGTTTCGCCTACATTAAAAAACATATTGCAAATTAATAGCATTAAATGTTATTTCAATCCGACTAACCTGCGGAAGTGTCATTTCCTATCAGCCATGAAATGCCCTTTAAAATAAGGCTATAACCAAGACCTTTCCAAAACGTTTTAGGACCTTGACGATAATACAGTTGTATTATGATTGGAACCAACGAAAAAGGCAGTAAATGAAACCTGTAAAGTGATAAGTGATTTGTCAATTATTAATAAAATTCAATTTATCATAAGTGTTACCTTCTAGCTACGTTGTTAACTTGGCATTGTTGACGCAAAACAATAAACGGATGAGAGAGCACATTATCGACGAACCAGCTGAACCAAGTCAAGCCTATAAAAGGATCATAATAATTGGTAGATTAGAACAGTCAGCAAACTAAATTTCGTTTTAATTAATATTTAACTATGCTACTACATAGTAAAATGTGTTTTTATTTATTATTATTATTGTTAAATTTTTTTGTTCAATGGTTCATACCTTTGCTTTTATTCTTAAGAAGATATGAATTTCCATACCCATTGTCACATACATATGGAAATTGTTCATATTCAGGATATCTTGGAAGTTGTGCATATTCAAAATATCTTGGAAGTTGAGCATGTTCATAATGATGATCCGAAAATATCTCTTCTTCATACCGTTGTCTCCGATTGTCGTTTCGTCTCATTAAAATTTCGTTGAGAAGAAGTATTGCTTGGTTTCCCCTTAAGGCTTCAATGTTATGCGCTGAATGCTCATTTTCTTCTTCTTCAATGGCATTCGCATTTGATTGCAGTTCAACACGCCCAATACTTAATAAACATAAAATTTACTTGTTTTTAAGGATAAACACTTTTTCAGCTACTTACACTTCTGGAACACACACACCCCAGTAGAGCATAGAAATTAGAAACTTGTGTTTATTATTGCACAATGGACATCTAAATAAATCGCCGGCTGAGTGTGCATACGTTTGTAAACACAATTTGTGAAACCAATTGTTGCGGCAACACGGCGAGTGTAACATTTTCGCTGGAATGAAATTAGTAGTTCCTGTGAATATTTCATCATGGCAAATGCAGCAAATTTCATTCGCGTTTGGAAGAGACTTAGGCGATTTAACATGGCGATGGCAATACGAACGAAAGGGTGCAACAAATTGATTTCTGGCCCCATTTTGTAGGCCGCAAATGAAGTGAAATGTACGTCCACATCTGCGTTGACTGCAACTAATATTTGCAGTTTTCTTATTACAATAGCAGCAATTCTGCAGATGCATACAATTCATAAAAAGCAAAAACACTAATTAGTAGGTACATAAAGCAAAGAAAAACACATTTTGAAAAATACTATTACTTATTTCATTGAGTATAAACTATAAATAGCCAACCAACAAATAATTTCCGTTAATCTATAAACTAATCTAATATTCTTTCAAAAATTAAAACTGGAATTATCATTATTTTGTGAAAAAATGTATGTATTAAAATAAGTTATTTCCACAGTTTTTTTAAGTTTGTTTATTTACCCTTCTGTTGAAAAGTCTGCGTTGATTTGAAATTTCATCTAGGAAGAATTCGTAAAACCCATAATGATCATTTTTAAGCCCTTGTAGCCTAGAAGAAAAGAACTGAAAAGATAACGTGTTAAAATGTAAATAAATAACGTAAATTCAAAATGATATTACAAAAGTTAAAGGTGTTTGGGAATTTCAACCATTAATTTTTTAAAATAAGCTCCAAGTTATTTATTTATAATAAATATAAATTAAACAATTCTTTGATAATTTAAACATAACTAAATTTTTATAATTACAAATTTTATAACCAATAACTTTGTTTTCATTTGCATGCTATTTACACAATGCGGGCAACTTTTTTCAGTCACAATATTTTTTAATTCGGGGAATCCCATGATAAATCTTTCGCCCTCATTACCGAAAACTTGCTAAATCATTTTTAATTATTAATATCCACGGTTGAGGTTTTGTATACCATCCCACGATTTCAGAGTTAAAAGTGCTCACAACTTTGAATTTCAAACTATAGAAATCTATATTTATATGCATAACTAACCAAGCAAAATTTGTGCACCGCTATGTTTTGCTTTTCTATAAATGGACCATATTGAATTTCATCTTGTTGATTAGAGCCGCAAAGTTGACACCGCATTATAAAAACTTTTAATATTATTGTTATTTACGAAAGTAATGAACAATAGATTCGAAAATATATTAAAAAGATCTTCACACAAACAATTTTTTTTCGGACAGCTTATTAGAGATGTTCGATTCTTGCAACAAATTATATTAAAGATGTATGAAACTCTTACGATTTTCGATTACACGAAAATTAATCGATATATAAATATTCCAGTGTATTTTTTTTATTTGAATCATAGGCAATTGCTTCACCTTAAGGTGATTGTGGTATCCCCAAGGGATTTTTAGATTATTTATTTGCTTTGATTGTTTGACTTTGAATAATCCTTTAACCTAATATATTTCAGGACCATTTTCTGTCTACTTGCTACTCAATCTTCTATTTAATATTTGTAGATAAGTGGCATCGCTATTGAAATGAAAAACTTTAAACGGCAGGTTTGACGGAAGTTCTATCTGACATCAGAACCGTTTGTCGGTATTTTTTTATTTATGCTTATTTAGTAATTAAATATTGATATGAAACAATAAATATGTATATGCGTACTCCTTATTAACACAAATGTATTAGCCGAGTAAATAATATAAAAATATTAGCGTTTTGGCTTACTTTACCGCTTTTTAATTTTTGTTGCTGTTAGCATCAAAAAAATATGTATTTTCATGTCGTGGTATAATTGCATTGATTTTAATTATTAACCAAACTTACAATATTTATCGTTAATCTAATGTTACATAACATTATGATGCAATTTAGCTACTTCAGTTTAAATATATTATTATTATAAATAGCATAAGTTCATTTGAAATTTTAAAGCATATACAGTTAAACGGATCACTCCTGTCGTCCAAGTGTAGATATACGATGTATGTATATATATTTGAAACTGTTGAAAATGAATCGCTTCATTATTAATTTAATTAATCCACCGAACGATTCCCCATACTTTGAACGTCCAATTCACTATTGGTACTTAGGCTCGGCGAAATTGTCGTCGAATTCGATATAAGTCCCCGATCCAAATTATAGTATTGCATAACTTTTTGTGGTGGCCGACTAGAAATCACTTCAGTTATTTGTGTGACAACCCACTTTGTAAGCTTTATAACAGCAATATGTGCCGCGAACTGTAAAACTATAGCGCCAAAACCTTTATAGAGTCCTGAGAAACCTTCTGCGGCGACTGTAGTACGATAACAATCGATAGCACCCTGATAATTGGTTAGTATGGGTACAACAGCGTAGCCATTATCCAGATTATCAATAATAGTGCGGGTGCCTTGCAATTGAATGCGATGCAGTATTGTTTCAAATGGATAAAATATCACTTCTGTGGTGAGCATTGAAATTAGATTCGAGTAAATTTCTACATTTTGATTTTCCAAAGTGTCGTCCTTATATTTAGCACCCTTACGTTCTTGAGCTTGTTGGATTCGACGACGCATAATACGCGATGAGATGCCTTTGATCACAAGTCTAAGGAATTCATTTTACAGCATTATAATTTCATTAATTAAATTATTAAAAAAGACGTACCCAAATAAATATTTTGTAATGCCCACAGACATACACGGACCAATCAAAGCCCACGCCGGTAGCATACGTCCTTTTTGTGGTGAACTCCAATACAGCAAACGCAAGCTTCCTTCGCGGAATACATCAAAAAGACCAGGTTTTTCACTGGCTATATCGCTCTGCACTGTCTCCACCAAGGAAGCAGAGTAAAATGGCATTACAACCGCAATGCTAACACTATCCATTTTATCAATATATTTTCAGTTAATTAATATTAATAAAATTGGATTTTAATGAATTTTAGTCATACCACTTTAGAACAATATGCTGACCAAATTTCTTTAAAGTTGTACGGCTATCCACATCTCTGCAAAATTAAATAATACTTGCATATAATTTTTAAAGTTTTATTGCGGATGTTGCTTACTTTGGCCAATGAGTTATTTTGGAAATAACGTCATCTACTGCTAACGACATGCCTCGAACAAGTAGGCAACTACCTAATCCTTTCCAGAGTGTAGTAACTCCTTGTCGCCGATGCAGATGTATAATGCTGGGAACTAGCGCAAACGGATGCAAATGGTAGCTGTATAAATTTAAAGTTATTAAATTTAACAATATTTGTCATAAATTTCAATAAGTATACCGTCTGGAAGCATTGTAAACTTGACACTGACGTCGTAATACAATGAACGGATGGCTAAGCAAATTTTCAGTTACCAAGCTAACCCACTGAACTCCTATGCCGAGGTACTTCCGTATCGATATTTCTATCGCCAGAAAAAACAAATAACTATGTAATTCAATGCGTCAAAAATATTTAGTTGAAAAAATATATTTTACCATCCTCTTGACTGTCATAGTAGTTATCTAGCACTTTATGTTTTTCTAGCGTTAATGATAGATCACGCTCTGAATTGACATATTTCAATCCTGTTGAACCACCAGTTGTCATGTCATGGGCTGAACCGCCTAAGCTGTCAAGAAAATTTTGTGTGTGCAGTTGTCGTTCAACATGCAAGGGAAAGCTGGAAATTGAAGAAAATTGTAAGCAATTACACAACTAAATAAGTTGTTATCCACTAAAACTTACGTCATGTGAGAACGTTGTAAATTTAGTGTATTAGGTGGTACTAATGCACTTGCTCCAGCTCCGGTTGTAATGTTCGATGTGGTCATTATAGGCCCTTGAATTTGACTTGCACTAAATATATTACGAAGTCGAGTTTGTTGCTCACTTTCGTCGCTATCATCATCCTCATTTTTTTCATTTGTCGCATACCTGTAATATAGATGTAAATCACAAATCGTGCCTTAAGGAATATCATTGCGAAACCAAAAATAATTATTTGCATTCACCCACATTAATGTTGAATAATTATTCATTCCTGCCATTACACGTCACGACACCACACTTAACAAAATTATTATAATTTTGTTATTATTCCTATTTGTGCGTTCTTTATATTATTTTTAATAAGTTGATAAAAAGAAATATTTCTTCCTCCTAAAATATAAAAGTTTTTCAATTTCCCCTTAACCATCTAAGGAAGTGTCAGAATTTGGCAACTGATTTTTAACAAAAACAAATAGCATCCGTATGTTCAGTGATAGGCTAAGAATTCATTACTGAAATTAAAACTTAAAATAATCTGTAAAAAACAAACTATTTTACTAAAAAGTATTTTTCAAAATATTATTACTAACTATAGATTGATCTAAATTGAGGTAATATGGAATATAAAATCTTAGTATAGTAATTATATATATATTTTTTTAAATGTGAAATAGGTGTGGCAAGGACAAGTCAGACTGCGGCTCGCTCATATGGCACTAAAAGAAAACATTGCTAATGAATTAAAACTTAGTGCAAAAGAAAATTAATTTAACAAACAAAATGCTCCGCACACTTATCATTGACCTAAACAAATTGCGGTAAGAGTAAATTAAAATGAATAGTTTATTAATTAAAAATGTAATGTCTTAACTAACCTCAAATTTTAACTTCATTCACTAGTCTAAATCCAGTGGTGGTTACACAAGTACGGGAGAAAGGACATTTAACCCGACCGCGTTTGAGAAACCCTTACTGGTTTGTACGCAAAGAGAGATTGGTAGGTAAAAATATGAAAAGTTAAGTTTAACTGACAAATACAAATTTAATTTACCACAAGGCTCGTGATACAACGGTGACAACAGAGAACAAAGCTTTCGTCAAAGAAATAATAAAGGACAAATATGGTCCTCCTGCAATTATAAAAGGTATACCTTCATATGACCAATCGGCTTTAATAAAAACAGAACAATACGAGCGAAAGCCATGGCACGAAAAAGCACGTCGTTGTGGGCTTATTGCTCGTAAAATTGGACAGTACCCACTCTGGTTGAAAAATGGTGAACGTATACGTACCACATTGTTACAGGTTGTGGACAATCATGTAATTCGCTATATACCTCCTCATGAATACAAGCCTGCGCAAAAACCTAATGTTGCCAATCTGAATAAATATGGCTGTCTGCTAGTGGGTGCCGAGTCAGTAGATCCCTCCACATTAACTAAAGAGTATTGCGGATTATTTCGTGATTCCGGCGTTATGCCTAAACGTAACTTGGCGAGATTCATTATCTCTCCAGAAGCGGCGATTCCAGCTGGCACACCATTAAATGTCGCACACTTTAGAGCAGGCGATTTTGTTGATGTACGAGGCAAAACGTAAGCGTTCAAGAAAACCCAAATCAAATAAAAGACTGATTTTCTATAAAATATTTTCCCTTAGTGTCGATCATGGCTTCCAGGGAGTAGTAAAGCGTCATGGATTTAAAGGTATGCCTGCTTCTCATGGTGTAACAAAAACGCATCGTCGGCCTGGTAATATAGGTGGTGGTGGCGAAAAAGGTCGTGTATGGCCAGGCACAAAAATGCCTGGCCATATGGGTAACCGCTGGCGTATAGCGAAAGGATTACGTATCTGGCGTATAAACACCAAATACAATGTGATGTGGGTACAAGGCAGCGCCATTCCAGGATCTACCAATGGACTTGTATATATTTACGATACAATTTTACCGCTGCGAAAACATAAAACAGCTCCACCTTTTCCCACTACTTTTGAAGAAGAACTAGAAGCATTAACTGATGATATATGGTATGAAGATGTGCATAGTTTCAAAGATGATACTATAACTTTCCAACCAGAAACGAATTAAAGTAAAAACTTGTTAAAGAAATTGTTGTAATTTTATTAAACCCTAATATATACGTATGTAAATAAACAAATTCTTTCTAAATAACAACATTTGCCCAATATCGCATTATAATACACTGTTTTTCTGTAATTCGTAAAGTTTCTCGTCATTATTTGACATTAACTTAAGTTTTCCTTCACGTTGCAACTTCTCAAGGTGATGTCCAACATTATATGCAGCAGCCGGCCACAATTGTTCCGGTGTCTCTTTGTATACATCCCGTACTACATCCATAGCTTGTAATGGTTTATTAGGATTTCGACTAAAGAAATCTAGTACTTGTATTTCGCGCTGATTTCTATGATTAATGTAGTATTTGATTTTGTCAACCGGTTGCTATAAAAACATACAACGATTTTTTATGAAAATATAACTTTTATATTAGGTATTTTACTTCAATTATGTTCCCATGTGCAGGGTATATCACTTCAGGTTTTATGCTCAATATTTTGTGCAAGCTTTTCATGTAATCATATAAATCTTCGAATACTGCGGTACCTTCACCTAAAAAGTACAAATTGTAAAATCTGTGAAGCTTTTAAATACATGTTCATACCCAAAATACAGTCACCACTAAACAGTATGCCATCTTCCGTGGTCAACACAATATGATCTGTTGTATGGCCCGGGGTATGCACAATTTTCACTTTCGCACCCTCTACACTTAGTTCTTGTTCATCCTGCAATGGGTGCACCTTAATATTTGCGGGTAACTCTGGACATACATCTACTGCGTCGGTACGTGGGAATTTATAAACCAAGCAGTCTAAATGTATTTAAAGAAACATTAAGCGAATTATTTCAAAGCCCGCGGAATGTCAGCTCAAAACGAACCACTCGCAGCGCACGTCTTTATCACATCTTTTACCCCTCCTACATGATCATGATGCCAGTGGGTAAGTATAATTGTACTTAACGCCGCCTGTTCCTGCTTTAAAACGGTTGTTAAATGTTTGATATACTCCGGCACGTCCACATCACCAGTGTCTATCAATATACGTCTTAAAAAGAGTGAAGATATACGTACATAAGACTTATATCCATTCAAGAAATAATCTTTGACCTACCTTTTGCCTGTACCCAATAAATATGTGTTAGTACCTTGCAAGGTCATTGGCCCGGGATTGCAGCCCAATATACGTATAATTGATGAAGTGAGACGAGTAACAGGTGGTATTAATGCCATTTTCAGAATATTTGCCACTTTCTAAATAACAAAATTTCGTCAGTATAAATCGGTGATAAATTCTTATCAGTACTGTGAAAACTACAATGTAAACAAAAACAAATGTTCTCTAGATTGTCAATCTCAAATATATTTTAGCACAGGGTTACAAGAAACAATAACAGTTCTGTGAAAACTACAATGTAAACAAAAACAAATGTTCTCTAGATTGTCAATCTCAAATATATTTTAGCACAGGGTTATAGGAAACAATAACAGTACTGCGAATAAAAATGTTTTCCTTTGCTACACCCCATTTTGTAACGGATATTATTGCTTTCAAAAAGACAAGTACATTTTGATTACTTAAAAAAAAAGATGATATTAATGACAGTCATATTTTAAAATATTTTTTGGTTTCCTTTCGAATGCAATTGATTTACTTTCATAATTTTTCTCGCAATTTGATTAAACTTTTTACTATTTAAATACAAAATGTCTACCACTACTACTATAAATAAATTGGCATTAGCTGAATATTCCGCCGAATTGATGGTGTATTTCGAAAAACATAAAATTATCGAAATTATAACGGTGACAAAACTAAAAACTAATCCTATTAGGTATAACCTGACTTTATATAAAATGTTTACAGCGTTTAATGGTTGAAATTGGCTTGATTCGGCCCACTAATCCACAAAACTGGATCGCTATTAATATACGGCGCATTGCGGATGAGTTTTATCATAAATGTTTAAAAGCAAGCTTTACATCCAGCAAAATTGGTAAGGCGAGGAAGAGATCTTTACAAATTTCTTTAGTGCTGAAATAATTTGTTTTTGCTACCGTAAAGATTATTACCAATTGCCGCGACATTTTCACCATCGTATAGTTATATTTGGACGCAGTGGCTCGGGTCGCAAAACTCAAGCGCTGGCGATAGCAAAACGTTTTAATTTGATTTATAGTAATCTACAATCACTTAGAATTTTACATACAAACATATATTAATAAGTTTACACAAAATTTAGTTAACGCCGAAAACTTGATTTACACAACTTTCTTTCGAAACGATGAAGTCGCACAAAAATTACATAAGGCATTCTTAGACAATGTGGCAAAGGATAAATCGTCTGCGGTATCAAAGGCGATACAGCAGCGCTTATTACAAATAGATGCCCTACGACAAGGTTGGGTGTTGATTAATTATCCACGAAATGTGGAGGAATTCACCGAGATGTTTGAGACCTACAAAATACCACCCAACAAAGTTATTTATTTGCAATGTCCGGAGATAATGGCGATGCGACGCCTAGTTGCAAAGCCAAATTTGGGGTGCCCGCAAAATACTTGTGAATATATAGAACATGAGGTAATTCAACAGGTTATGTAATACAAATATGCATACTACACTTTGCGTGTTTTTCGAATCATCACTCTAAAAGAGATGAATTGGTACACACACATTAGTATGTATGTATGTGATCTAAGTGTTAAAAAAATTAGCGATATTCTATTTACTTAAATTTATTCCATTCGATTAAATTAAATAGATGGCATATTTCTCACAAAACGAAACAGCAATAAACGACTACCTCCAGCGCCGCCATGAAACCATCTATATAGACTCAACACCTTGTTTTGAGGCTGTGCGTACGAACTTATGGACACAAATGGAGCGTTTGCCTTATGTAATGGGTTATAAAATGTAAAAAGAACTTTATAAAAAAGCTAAATTTGCAAGTAGAATTATAAATGGTAGTGCTTTAATTGCTGTTGCTTAGTCTAGATCGTAATTAACTTTTTTACAAAGCACATTTGTACATATGTATACATATTTTTTAGAATTAAAATAAGATATTAAACCATTGAATCAGTACGTTCATTTTAAAATATTTTTTTTTAGAGAATTAACTTAATAGATAGGAGTGCTACAAACAATGATTAGCTTGTTTGACTAACTGTGGCTTCATAATTTTACAAAATTATACACTCGTTTTGCATAATTTTACTTCGTTTTTTTTTTTTTTTCTAACAAATAAGCTTAACTATGACTAGCAACCTCTCCCGTTGTCGAGCCAGTATTACTGAAATATTGTTGCCTACAAAGTTCCTCCATTACATCGTGATTGTAAGTTGAATGTAGCATGAGCCCTAAAACACCAGCACGTGAAGCCATAAGATGTCGTATGTGACGTTCTTGTTCCAAAAGTTCATCCATTTTCAGCCACTGACGTACTCGTTCTAAATCGATTTCGGCGCGACGTATCTTTTCCCAAACATAGTGCTTGAAGCAGCTCTTTTTAGGTGCACGACAAAATTCACCTGTTGGCTTGAAAACGTTTGCCACTAGCGGACAACCGCAGACATCAGTCTCACTAATTTTTGGGTCTTTACAGTGCTCGGGGCAGAGCACGCGCAAACGTTTACAGTAAGTTTTACTAGCAGGATTATAGAAGTCACAGAACATTGAATTGCCTTCAATGCGCGTCTTGAAAATGCTACCGAATGATGCTTGTGATTCATATTTGTTAAAACATTTCTCCATATGTTTGATGGCGGTGCGCGAGTGTATTTCGTGACCGCAGGTAATGCAATACATCGATTGCTCATCTTCGATGTCATTATTGTCTTGTGTACGATTTGTATCTAGCGTACTATGCTTGGCACGGTCAACAATCATATCCAGCTCCATGTGTCGCTTATCGAGTTCGGCTAATGCGAAACGAACCACCGCCTGTTTAGATCTTATCTGATCAAGTTGTTTTTTGTTTTCTTCCTCTGCCCGACAATTGGATAGATTCCATTCTTGCACACGTTGTGGCAGCACCTAAAATAGTTAAGCGCATAAATTTAAACTGACAAAGCTATGGCAATTGGAGGTGAGTATATGCAATTTGTGGATTCGAAGCTTACCTGAAAAATACGATTGGTCGCCAAATTAATGCCACACACATCGCTGCAGTACTTGGACTGTGGTCTTGCATTGTTTCTGCAACGAGGTCCATAACATTGTCGCACGCCTTCTAAATCCGGATTGATAAATACTTCCGGACTTAGTGAGCGCTTCCGTTTCCGTGAACGTTCTTTCGGTTGTTTTTCCTTACGTTTATGTCGAGTGGGCACTGGTACTGCATTTAGCTGTTGCGTAGGTGGTTGCAATTGCTGCTGTTGAGTTGTTGTTGTTGTTGACGGAGCTTGACACACACGCATCTCACAACGTGGCTTATGTCCGCCCACTCGTATGCGACATGATTCACATATTCCACAGTTTAGAGCGCGGCAACCTTCACAATTACCACAACGACTTTGTGATTGTTTACTTCCGCCTGAAGTTATCGCGCCAATATTGGCCTCACGCAGATTTCCTTGTTCCTTTGCTTTTTTACGTTTATCATTGTCAGTGATATTAGTAGCGGCGCTTGGCGCTGCAGTCTTTTCGATTGGTACAACTCGGAACACAGTTTGTAAACTAGGATCTTCTTCTTTGCATCGCTGGCAATAATAGTGCCTTATGTGTTTTGCCTCCTTCTCAGTGATATTGATGCAGTCACCGTGATACCATTCTTCACAGCCATCACAACCGCTAAAAAATAACGACCATTGATTAAAAAAGATTAATGTACATTTTTTGGAAAATTTAACTTACATCATGAAGCGAGAACAATCAGAAGTTCTGCAAATGCAATATGCCTGACCATCCTGCTTCATTATAGTTGCAATTTTAGACTTTCTTTCTGGCAGGTCGAACTCTCGCGCTATCTCCTCTTTCTACATAAAAATTAATAAGAGTTAATTCATAAATTCGTAAAATATTGAAATTTTTCTTACTGATTTTTTATATTTTCGCTTATCAGCCATTTTTTGCGAATGCCACTAAATATCAAGGAAAAGTATTAATAAAACCAATTGTTTAAATGATGAACTTGCCACATGTATCGAACACAAACAACACCATATGTATTTATTCTACATTTACAAACGTTAAATTTTTTGAATGAATTTAAACAATATCAACTCGTAACTTTAACAAGCTATTAATTAAAATAAATTTATTTTTTTAGAATAAAATATAAGAAATATAGCTAGTAAATATTTTATAACAAAACATTAAAATTCAAACCAAAAAATCATAAAATTACGTTAGTGTAAAACATGCCTATGCCATGCAACCATGCTTAGTGCGAACTTCTTCATATATTTTTCATTCCACACATTCCGCTTAATATTTGTGGTGATTTGTGCGTGTAAGATTTTATCAATTGTGTGAAAATTTTGTAAAATAGTTTCACCGCATAATACTATTATTTTTTAATTTATAAGAAAGATAAATAAGCAAATAAAGCAGTAAGGAAGCATAAAGCATATTATTAGCTAAAAAAACATGATATAAGCATGGCAAACATAATATTTTAATAACCAGTGAAATCGAAGGTGAACAACAACAACAAAGCGGAACGCCAACCCTCCAAAATTGTATTTTCGCGCATTTGCCGCCGATTTTACCGCGTGAAAAGTTGGCTGCAAACGAATTAGGCTGAAATAAATCTAAATTGAAAGCGTTCGTTTAAAAGGTTAGTAAACTTAAGGTTTTTTGTATTTATAACTTGTTATCTAAACAGTACCAAGTAATGTTTGCATAAAGCCCGAAAATATGGCAAATACTTTTATTGATGTTTTTATTGAGTGGTTATTATGAATGGACATTTAATTACCGCGTCGGTATTTTGTTTTTGGAGTAATGATGTTCTCAAGTAAAATATGAGCCTTGAGTATTACTATTACTGCATTCTTTTTTATGCGCAATAAATGTGCAGAAAAAGATAAATAAAACAAATTTTGTTGCAAACTTAATTGCTCTACTCAGTGTATACAAGTTTTAAAATTGTATTTAGAGTAAAACAGTTATATATTTTATAAAAGTTTCCTTTTTTCACAGAGACTACCAAGGAGATTTGCAACTAACGCGGTTGAATATAATCTCTTTGACGCGATGATGCCCACCAACGCAGGACTACATTCAGAAGATCACATATATTGCCAACGTCAAAACAGGAATATGACTTTAGAAGTACGACAAAATCATCGTGAACCTCTGCAAGCGCAGCAACATTTTGCTCAGCAAATTCAGCATACTTTGTCACCTCGACAACCACAATTACCCCAACAGCAACAACAAAGTTGTAGTGTATCAAACAGACTAGAAGAAGTAACGCAAAAGTTGCAACAGAACTCTTCACAGCAGCATCAAAGGGCGACAGTTTCCGCTACCGTTTTTACTTCGCACGATTTGGCTGTGGAGAGTGTGATGCCAGGCATATATTTAACAAAGAATTTTATCGCCTGGAATGAGGAAAATTTACGTTCACATGGCTTCACACATATCATAATAATTGACAAGCACATACAGGAATTGTATTATCCTTCACCAATATTTAAATTATCCACTGAAAATACCACTGTTGATGCATTTGATACATATGAATACTTTAGTCATCCAGCCACTGCGTCACTCAAATTTGGTAAAGAATTTGAAGCGATTGATTTGAATTTTGGCGAAAAATCCTACTTGACCACTGTGTTGCCGAATTGTTATCGCGCTGTTAAATTTATAAATAAAGCCTTACTAGCGGGTGGCACAATCTTGGTAATCGATTGTAATGGCAGTGAACAAAAGTGTGTGACGATAGTTGTGGCATATCTGATGTACAAGCATAATATAAATTTTAGGTAAGTCTTTGTGTTTAAACATTTTTGGTCATAATTAAAATATTACATGCACAATTAAATTTTTCGTTGCAGCAAGGCATTTTCGCGCCTAAAAGAGCACTATGAAAAGGCTGATCTGGATCGCTTCTATATGACACAACTGTACGAATATGAACCAATATTACAGGTGCAGCGTGCACAATCACGCGGCCAGAGTTGTTCACGTGAAATGTACTCGGCCATACTGAAACGTAAGAAGGGAGATGATGAGGAAACGAGCGTGTATGATGGTAGCATGTCATTTTACGCTAGCAATACTACACAAGACTTTTTCAATTCATTCAATCCGTTAACAAATTTTAATGCGACAACAACAACAATTGCGGAAAGGAATTTGAAAACAGTAAACGCATTTATTCAACAAAGACACCACTATGAAACATCGGTGCAACATGAAATCAATGCTGCTTCGTCATCAGCAAATTACAGTACCGATGATTATGCTATGGAGTAAATGAACTGAGTTTTTTTTCGCATGTCGGCAACCGGTTAAGCTCCTAGGTTAGTAATTTTGTATATACATTTTTGCATACTTCATACATTTAAGTATGTTTAACTAGATTTAATTAATGATAAAGTCAGTCCTTTCCTACATTTACATATATTCAAAATATATCTTTGACTAAGTAAAAATAATACAACCTTTCACAAAACAAACTTATTTTGGACTTCGAAATTATAGTGCTTCCTTAGAAGAAAACTTGTAGATGTTAATATTTCGTTATAGTTAATATTACAGGAATAGCAAGTGAATGTAAGTCAACATTTTTTCGTAATCTCTAGGAGGAGTTCCGAAAAATGTGTCTTGCGATGAGCCAATTTTTTTGCTTAAATTATTGGTAATGATCGAAAGACAAATTGATTTTTAATTTTTTTGTTTTTAAATTTACAATTCAGAGTTGCTTAAAATCTAAAATTTTCTATCAGAGAAAGTCGTATTGTTTTGATCATTACCTCACATTTATATAATGTTTGAAATTTTCAAGTTGTACGTTTCAGCCGTTTCTAAGCAATTTTTCTCACCGACAGATCAACTTTTCGGACAATATTTTCAAATGTACATAACGTCACCTAAAATTCAAAATATCGTATCATCAAAAAATTCGATTATCGTATTCGTGTTTCATTCACACCACTGTAAATTTTCGAAAATGTTGTTATGTTATTTTGTATTTTAGGTGACGATATGTAATTTCGATACATGTAAGCAATAAATATATTGTTTTTTGAAATTTACAAAGTGATATAACAATTTAATCTATTTTAATGTCTATTATTCAAGAAAATGTCACAAATACCTTAAATTTTCTATATTTTGAAAATTTTTCCAACTTTTTCTGAAGAAAATACTTTTCTGCAAGCGGCTCCATCAGTTTTTTAAAGGAATTTTTATTGGATTGTGTTGCATACTTCTAGGCTGCATGTAGTTTTATTCACAGTACTGTTTTATTAATTGCTTAGTTGTTGTTGTAACGGCAGAAATTCTGCCGGATTGACAGTCCTTGGCCGGATAAAAATCCGGGTCCGTTCCGGTTTTCGTAGACCCGACTGTCGTGGGAACGGATTGTTGTCAGAAGTATATATGCATAAAAATGACCAGTTTGACGAGTTGAGTCGTTTTAAGATAAATGGATGAGGATTGCACGCGTCCAAAAGTCTATGGTGCTCTCTACTCAGTCACTACGATCCACCTAGCCCCAGCACATTGATAAATTTCAATATACAGCTCGGTGCAAATGCCTTTATTCTGCGTCTGCGTCTGCAGACTGTTAATCAGTTGGTCTTCTGGAGTTTCAGGCTCCATGTCGCAGAACCGCCAATTTGCACAAGAAGCTAGGCCCATGTTATATACGTGCTTCTTGAGCATAAAGTGGCTATCTTACCTACATATTATGTATATAATAAATAAGTACATGTGGATTTCTTAGTAAAAGAAATGCTCGAATTTTTTTCGGTAAATCGATTAAATATTATTCTTAAATTAATTTATTTAGTGATTGCTTTAAATAATTTTTCTCAATTCATTTATTTAAAAAACTATACACACTATTCTATGTATGTATGCAAGTCAAATAATAAGTATGGCGCTAATATCTAACGGTAATTTAAAATAGTATCTTGGTAAATACAACATAAAATAAGAAATTTATACTAAATATTTACTATATTTATATTTCAAATAGCACTAACAGATATTTTGTACGTTTGTATATACATATGTATATCTAAATTTACAACATTTATATCAGAAAATAAAGTTAATTTATGTATAAATAACTATTCTTACATATATATAGTATAACATAATAACCAACGCAAATAATCTGTGCTTCTAAATGCCGGAGTTCATATTTCTATAGCACACTCCAAGACGATTCCGGTGACAGTACTCGTATTTGATTTGTATAAAATTATCGATACTAGTAGTATCTTATTTAAAACATAACTGATTTTTGTAACCTCATCCTTTATATAGTATACATATGTATGTATGTAAAACCAATCGCCACAAAWTACTGACGCTCTGAACACATAGAGAGTGGCACGACATGACAGCACGAGAGTGAACTGTAATTTAATGTTTTAATACTTGACAGATGTCGCTTGCAGTCTGTCGCGTAATATGTGTTCAGTACATGATGTTTAATCAGTAGTCGTGGACTGAAGTGCCATTAAACACGAGAAATGGAATTTTTTTTGTCTATAACGGATATCCCTCGTCAGACAAAAAAATTAAAACAAGAAAGGCTGTACCGAGGCTATAATACTTACCCTTCACATTTACATTTCTTACAGCATACATTATATAAAATGATCGTTATCCTGATTGTTCAGTTCATATAGAAGCTACATATATGTAGGCTATAGTGAACCAATTAGAACAATATGTTCGGAGATTATTTCGCGTCGCCTTGGACAATAATTATGCCAAATTTCGTGAAGATATTGGGTCGTCGAAAAAGTATTTTCGTATTCTAATCAAACTTCTACTTTTTTATATTTATAATAATAAATAAACAAATATGTACCATTTTGGTCGAAAGCTTTTTGCCATTTTTCCGCTAGAGACATTATGCCATCAGTGTAAATCGAAATTTCCAGAACGGCGGCGAGCGAACCATTGTTGTGCTATACGAGCTGATACAGCATCGTCTCCGTAAACCTCACAAATTTCATTGGTGGCTTCCTCCCTTTTTTATACAAAATTTTGAAAACATGGCGAAATTCTTCATTATTTTCACTCATTTTTGACCAACTGTAACTTTTCTTCAACTTCCCCGAATTAAATTTTTTTTTTTAACTTTTGGTCAACTGAAGTTTAAAATCTCACCTTTCTAACACTATACGGTATGATACTATGGATTGTGAGCACTGGTGATATACGACTGCCCCGACATCTATTGACAAAATACGAAAAGACTTTTTCGACTACCCAATATATGGCCAAATGAAAAAGTTTTCCATTAAAGAACTTGATTTGGATTAGTCAGTTTGTATGGCAGCTATATGCTATCGTGGTCCGATGTTGGCGATTCCAACAAATGAGCAAGCTGCTTGGTTAAAAATTAATGGGTTCAACATTTCAGATTCATAACTCAAAAACTCAGGCTCTATAAGCTCTTGAAAGATTCCAAGAAGCTCCAACGTTTTCGAGCCAAATTTTGTTCAGCGCTGAGGTCCATTTCTGGCTGAATTGGTATGATTTTGGGCGAAGAGCAACCTGAAGATACTCAATAGCTGCAATTAATCCAGAAAACACAACGGTTTGGTGTGGCTTGTGGGCCGTTGAAATAATCGGTCCATATTTTTTCAAAAATGATGCCGGTGAGAACGTCAATGGCAACGTTGTAATTTCGGCGATATTTGCTTTCAACAAGACGGCGCTACTTCCCACACATTGCATCAATCGGTGGATTTATTGAGACAATACTTCGGGGAGCAGATGATTTCACGTTTTGCGCCGTTCGACTGGCCACAAGGATCGTGTGATATTACACCGTTAGACTTTTTCCTGTGGGGATATGTAATGTCTATTTGGCTAATACCCCTTCAATTCAGGCCTTTGAACAAAATATCACGCTCTCATTCGCCGAATTATTCGAATAGACAGTTCAGCAACTCAAAATACAGTAGCTACATACTCATGAACGCTCCAGCTCTGAAAGTATTTAATGCAGGTAATGCATGATCTCCAATGCCCTAAAATGTAGTCCATCAAAACAAAAACTACAAAAAATGAGTTTAATTGGAATTTCGGTAGCTTTTATTCGCTCTCAATCATCTAGCAAAGCTAAAACTCTCAAAATAATAGTTCGAGCTAAAAACCCTTGAGGAGCGTCACAGCAGGTAAGTTTCATCAATATTTATATATTATTATTTTTTTAATTAAAACACTCACGTTGTTACAAGTATATTCATACATATATAAATTTATAATGATTTATTTATTACGATTTCCAACTTGTCAAATGAACAGTTTCCTAACAACGACACGTTTTTATTGTTTTTTCATATTTAACTATATTTTAGCTATACATATTTATTGTATTTTAGCCGGTATTTGTACACAAATGATGTCCTCGCTGTTCTGGTCCTGCAATTCCCATTTAACCAGAACATTTACCTGTAAATTAAATGGAGAAAATTACTCTAAAGAAAATTTAAAAATGTATTATGTGAGTATTTTCATAAAAACAATGAAAAACGTTAACTTCGGTTGCACCGAAGCTATAACAATCTTCACAAATAAAAAGATTACAAGAACTAAATTTTGTGCTTCTAAAAAAAATGTAATCGGGCCTTGCTTTGGCTAATCAATGCAGATAGCAGATATCTTGTCATATAAAAGAAGTTGGTCTGTAGTTGTACTGCAGTTTTCTGATTTCTTCGAAGATTGCAGTTCTTTCTTAAGCAATAATCTTAGTCAAATTTTGTGAAGTTATGTATCTTCTTAAATAATAGAGTTCTCCGTAAAAAAACTTGATATTGATCGCTCACTTTGTATCGCTATCGTTCTATAGTAGTTCGATATCGGTAGTTTCGCCAAATGACCAGCTTTGTGCGAAGAAAAATACGTGCAAAATTTCGCATCGATATCTAAAAAACTAGTTCGCGTATATACAGACAGACGGACATGGCTAGATCGACTGCGCTCGTCATAATATGTTGATTTTATATACCGTCATTATCTTCTGGGCCTTACAAACTTTGTGACTAATTAATTTTTTTTTTTTTTTTCATTTACCGAATACCTCTTTTCGTGTGAGCAGTCGTACTAATAGCACTAGTACATACTTTTATTATCATTGCCAGTCTTAGCAGAAGAGCTACATGTCACAACTACATTTCGAATTTTAAATACTTCCTTCTTCGATCCAGGTGGAGGAGGTGACCCTATTCTATAACGACATTTATTTTGATTCTTTGGACACCCAGAAGTTTATGTTTCAATTTTACCGGGATTCGAGATAATTTCTCATATTTTTTGCTAATAATATTCG